ACTAGAAAAAGTTACTGTCGCCTCATCCAATTTTTACAGCAGTCAGCTGTTGACATGCTAGGCGAGCAATCGCGACAGTGAGGACGGGGAACAGCTGATTTCATGTTCCTAGTTGGCAAATTGTCTGCTAGCTACTAAGGCCCCATTTATGCACCAAGAGCGGGAGCGGGGCGATAGCGGGCCCGCTCCCGCTGTGAATGTGCCTGTTTATGCACGAAGAGCGATAGCGGTAGCGGTTGGTTAAAGGAGAATGGAAGGGGGACACAGTCTTGCCAACTCAAACTCTGCCAAATAATTAACACAACTATTTGTCCTTAGTGCACGTGCGCGTGGGTCAGGTTGGCAACCCTGGTTGCAGCCGCTCCCGCTCCCGCCGTGCATAAACAGACCCATTTGACTCAATGTAGTTGAAAACCACTCTATTCCAAGCAACCGCTGCGATTTCTAACTACACAGCGGGCGAATTAGAAACCGCAGCGGGAGGTCAACCGCTATCGCTATCGCTCTTGGTGCATAAACAGCCCCATTTAACTCAATGGTGTTAGAAATCGCTCCCGCTGTCGCTACCGCTACCGCACTTGGTGCATAAACGGGGCCTAACGTACACATGCATAAGCCATCAGCGGTAGCACCAGTAGCCTCAATGAATATATAAACACTTGTGTTAAGGTTTAAATACAGTAGTCAATGTTATTACTGAATTTGATACTATACATATTGTTACTAATATATGAAATGGAGGATAACGTTACCTTAAAAATACAAAATTTCCCAATTTATATCCAGACCTTTTTAAATAGCTTAGAAAACAAATAATTTAGTATATCAAAGTGTTTTTGTACGGTTATTGGTAACAGGACAAATTCAAAAATTGTAAATTTAAAATTCCCTTGTTATTCATATAAGAATATTGTAAAATGTTGTAGTTTGCTTGTTTATGGATATATTTTGATCAAACTTGGCAAATTTATTCAAACAATTACAAAACTATTTGGATCATGAACGGTACTCTAGTTTTCCCAAGGTAGGACACGTGAATTGGAATTTTTGCGTTACAGGCACAATGACAGTAAGAATCAAACACACGTACAGATATATACACAAGACTCGTTTCGGCTATCTTATTATATACAACGTAGAAATAACCAAACACTTCATGAGTCTACGCAATGTACAGACAAAACAGTAAAGACTTTATAATCTTATAACTAACTATCTGCCCATGCTTCGCAACGGGGTGAGAATCTTTGGGTCTCTAATTCCACCGTAAAAAAATAGTATATTTCGTACCTAGGGCCTAAAGTGAGGTTTTGCCGACTCGATATCGGGTTTTAATTTCGGGACGAAGTCGAGAACGTGAAACGATCGAGAGCTGCAAACCCATTTTGGCTCGTGGTACGAGCGGTTTTTTTTACCCAAGTATGTTTTGCAATATAACGTCCCTCTTATTTATGTGAAATATTTTGAGGAATCAGCAAAATCAAAAATAACAATAAATAGTTGTCTAGGCAGCTGTGGCAAAAAACAAGTCTATTGCAATGCCATGGATACAGCTTGTGCATTTAATATACATTAATGTTTTAAGTAAATAGGCGAACAAGTGATTTTGCGGCCCTAGGGATGTAAACCCCTGCTCGGTCCCCATATGACGATGACAGCTGGCATGGCCAGCAAAACGTAACTTTCAGCCACCAATATAAACCAGCTAAATGTATGTAAAACAGCTAAAAACACCATAGTGAGGTGAAAAATTCGTTACGCATACTTTTACATTACCATGAATTAATTATATGCATACAGAAAAAACGGAGTCATACTTATTGCGTATTTTAATGTAAACTAGTGGCTTGTAGGGACATAGTCCCTAAAAAGCTACGGAAAAGGAATTATTGTTGGAATATTTAAACAAACTCAGAATCAAATTATCAGGATAGGCCTAGATATCCCACTACAACATATCTTTTGTGCAAAAAAAAACAAAACAGTTTGTTGTTTGTTGTTTGTCTTTGTTTGCTTTTGTTGATAACGTTATGTTCAATAAAGAATTTGAATGATTCCTGAGTTTAACTGCTAAAGGCAGTAAACATGTTTATGAATAAATATTGGTTTATTAAGGTAGCTTTGATTTTTGGTTAATGCTGATAACAAGGCTTCCCCGATTGAAATACAGTATTGGAAATTGTCTTCGTCAAATAAGAAAAGGCAAAAAATTGTGTGTTGAGATACCCTACCCAGTTATTATTTCTAAGTCTATGCTCATTTTGTAAAGGTTTAACAAAATTATTCTTAAGTAAAGGCATCCCATTGACAGAACTTGGACCTAAATTTGTTTGTGATCAACATTAAAAAACCACTATTAGCCTAGTGTAAGTATGTGGTGTTAATCCTCCTAAAGGTGCGATTGATTTACATATTCTACCAAAAAAGGGCCTAGTCAACGTCTAATTTACTGATAATTTACCCAGCACATTAAGGCCTTAATTCCAAGTATCTCAGTTCGTAAACCATACATACAATGTGACGATAAAATATCAACAAAATAGCATGTAGTTTTAACATGCTAAAATAACCCTAATCCTTGTATGAGGATTATGTTATGTAATCCTCACGACATTTCATTTGGTCCATTGACTTTAAATCCAATAATTGTAAAAATCATTGGAGCTTTGAAAAAAACTTCATATAAAATCCTTACACTAATAAAAGACGACGTCATGAGCGCGGGAAATGAGCTACAGCGGCTAGGGCATAGCCACATGAATACAGAACGGAATGAAGGAACTAGAACAGAGAACTGGCAACAGTGCACGCGAGAAGTAGGGGGGGCGCACACACCGCTCAAGCACTACAACGCATTAGTGGCATCCTATCCACACACTGTTGATATATACCGATTTGTGGCATGGTGCCACAATTTAAAAACTGGAATGTTAGATGTTAAAATGGAGTGTTCATTAAAAATATCGATGCAGACATGTTTCTACCACCTTCCTTCATCCACTGGTGGCCGCAGGTTGAAAGATGCCACAATTAGGTGTTTGCGAGTATTCGGTAAAACCCCGTATGTGTGTGTGTGTCTGTGTGTCTGGATGTGTACAGAGCTAGAGACTACACCTGTGGTCCGATTTCGATGAAATTTGGTATGTAGGTTCTAATCCATGGTATCTCCAGGCGTTTTTTTTTCATTTTTTTGAAATTTTGATTTTTAATGGGGATTTTCCCATAAAAACCCATAAAAAACCGGAAAAATCGGATTTTCTCAAAAATGGCCCGAACGATTTTGATAAAAATTTAGTATGTTGTAGCCCTTTAAATTCTGAACAAAATGGTACAAATCCCATTTCTGTAAAAATTACGGTTCAAAAGTTATGGTAAATTATGTTATTTTCCCATAAAAACCCCATAAAATAACGAAAAATAGGATTTTAGACAAAAATCCGGTTTTGATTTAACATTGTATGTTATGGTCCTTACAATTGTGATAGTTTTTCATTTTTTAGAAATTTTTATTTTTAATGGGGATTTTCCCATAAAACCCCATAAAATAAAGGAAAAATAGGATTTTCCCAAAAATGGCCTGAACAATTTTGATAAAAAGTAGTAGTTAGTATGTTATAGTCCTTTATATTCTGAAGAAAATTGTACAAATCCTATTTCTGTAAAAATTACGGTTCAAAAGTTATTGTAAATTATGTTATTTTCCCATAAAAACCCCATAAAATAACGGAAAATCAGATTTTTCCAAAATTGGCTCGAACGATTTTGATAAAAATTTAGTATGTTAGAGTCCTTTAAATTCTGAAGAAAATTGTACAAATCCCATTTCCGTATGTTTACTCTCACCGCTTACACATGATAAAGGTTGTTGACAAGCTTATGGGAGAAAGTATGTGTCAGAATGCTGATACCGTTTATTTACTCTTAACTTGCATACGTTTAAATATTTGTTGCTATTTATCAGGATAAGCAACATCGGGATCATCTTCCAAAATCCTTCAACATGAGCATCTTTTCTGATTACAGCGACATTGTGATCATCCAGCAATTATGTGAACATTAGTGATTTATCAATATAGCAAAGTTTCAATAAAATACCTGAAATATTTCAAACTCCCCTTGAAAAAAATAAAGAAAAGAAAAAGAAAAACAAGAATTAAAATATTTCAAAAATGAGACTTTCCACTCTTTCCCACTCTTATTCTGTTACATTTACTGCGTACAAAAGCATGGGTTGTGGTAATGACGTTACTAAATTGTATTTTAGATTCGATTAAAATTGGTTTTTAATTGAATCTAAAATACAATTTAGTAACGTCATTAACGCCAATCAAAACTTGAACACAACTCTTGAGTTTTAACATAGACAAAAAGAATTAAATATAGACTGTCAGCCATGCTACGGTCACCATGGTTACCACAGGTTTTGGTGCAGACCGCTGGAAGCGCTGTGTAGTTACGTAGCGTGTAAGCCGTAACTACATGGCGCTCCCAGCGGTGTGCGCCAGAACCTATGGTAACTGCAGCACAGCTGACAGTCTATATTTAATTCTTTTTGTCTATTGTTTTAACAGAACCACAATTCAATATTCAGATTTGACACGCCCACATCCCTAACCCCAGTACGTTGGACATTACCATAGATAAAACATACTCCTAGTAGATTTCTCATCCTTATGGAACAGCTGAAGACAATTTTATTGTTAGTTCTGTACGGTTTTCTGCAGATGTCGTGTTTTGTTTACAATTTGTTTCCCGTTATTACAGCCATTTAAAACCTCGTTTAACCAAATAATACGATCTAATCATAAACAATAACTTGTCCCCTAGTTATAACCAAACAGTAAAGCACAAATCAAGAAATTAACCCTAAAATAATAGAAACAAAGTTTCGTCAACACTAGCGCCCATGTGTCACGTACATGAACTAGACACGAAAAACGTGCTTCAAAATGTACAATGGGATGAGAAGTCTACTTGTGTTGGTTAGTCTATGACATTACCTTCTACTGCTGGTACACAGGATGAGCAGTTTCTTTCCCTTAGGTGGTTCCTTCTTGAGCAGGACCAGTAGAGCCTGAAGGGTGAGGTTGGAGTATCTAGGACCAATGGGGCCGTAGTCCAACAAGCGCTCGATGTTGTCCACCAAGATACAGCTCAGAGTGGATCTGTATGCGTCGTCGAAATACTGCAATACACATGGGCAGTGTTTAGTGCTTATCTTGATAGAACCTTCGAATTGGTTTACAGACAGATTATACTGTAACACTTAAGTTGAAAGCGACAGTAGTCATTTTTTATGGGTTGGGTTTTTACTATTTATTTCATTCGGTGTAATACTAGTTCTATAAAACTTATCAAAGGCAAAATGTAAATTAGAGATATGCTTCTAAATAAACCTGGTGAGTTAAAATATGCAAAAGTTTCTTTGCATTAAAAAATATATATTGGTGGTACAATAGCAACTTTGACACAAGGAAAACCAATCAAAACAATAACATTTTGGAAATACAAAAGTTTGCCTAAAAAAATGTCTGAATCTTTAACCAGGGGAGAGTTCCTTCTATTTCTACTATTTTTTTACACCCCCATTAAACAGGCTACGCAGGATATTTCCGAAAAGGAAGAAAATGTTTGCCTTTTAAAGAAGATTGACATTTTTTTTCACAGATTTGTCTGTCTTATCAAGGGTCCAAGTTTGCTTGAAGTGTAAACAAGACTCTTAATTTGCTTATCTGTACCAAACTAAAACTGATAAATATACAAGCAGATTGAAAAAATGAAAAGGATGCTGGGATTAGTTCATGGGGAATAAACTAATGAAAATTGTTTCCTACATTTACTATGTTTTGTGACACTCTTGAATCTAATATATTTTGATACAGTTTAACACCTCTTCACTAATGTTTCCTAAGCTTTATGAGAAAATTCACTTAATGCATCAAAACTTACCTTCCTGATAGTTAGACACTTAGAAGATTCTGTAAAGCCCACCATGTCTTCTGGGGAGCAAACTTTGACAAATGGAAAGTCAGACATTTTAGCCAGCTGGGCAGCTAGTGCAGTCTTTCCAGAGTTTGGCGGTCCTGAAAAAAATCACTGTTACTTTAGTGTCTAATGAAAATTCAAAGTAGAATTAATATCTGCATTGTAGACCCATGTGAGGGATACTTTGTGAAGTTAGCTCTTGCAGTGTTAATGAATCTGATATCCGAGACACTGTGTAGGACATGAATCAATATCACCCAGAACAAACAGATACCTGTACATGGTCTCTATTTTGCAATATTATAGTTAAGACAGAGACTTAAGAAATTTGATTGGTTTGGACCACCTTCTTTAACACATTTGTTGCAGTAGCGTTATGGTGGGCCGTGGCCAGGTGAGGGAATGGCCAATGTGCTGCATGGTTTTCAAAAATGTTTAAATTTAGTTTCATCCGATGGGCAAAGAATAGAATGGATTGCGTTCCAGTTGTTGAGGATGTAGTTCTACAAGAAACCAAAAATTGAACAAAATTGCCAACAGACCCTCAGTATTGTAAATGCAGAAAAAAAGCAGAGGCGAAGTACCCGGATACATCAACAAAAAATACCGGAACAAAGGTGCCAAGCAAAAACTGACACTGCAAAAGTTTGAGGTTAGGTTCCTTCCACAATGCTACACTACACTAAACGTTTTGAGGGCAGTGCAGGCCGGCTACTGACACATTTATTTAGACAGTTACTTTAGTTTTTATATCCATCCCAATAAGAATTTTGACCATAGGCAACAAAAAGATTTACCTTCCAACAAAATGCTGACAAGCCCAGAAGACTCGGGAGCTTTGGCTTGTTGTATGAACAACATTCCATCCTCCAGGATGTTCTTGACCGGAGTTCCCCAGTTAGTGATACCTCTGGTGAGGAAGTGATCCAGGGCCTCAGCGCTCGTACCGAAGGCCTGGACACAATTAAGAGAACATGTTGTTAAAATATTTGAAAAAAAGAGATGGTAAGACATCCTGTTAAGTTCAAGATATTGTAATATGTAAAGAGTTGATTATTTAAAGTGATTATGATTTACAGATACACTAAAAAATAAATTATAAATTAACTACCTTCTTTTGATCTTATTTGTACAGCTGGAGTTGGAATAAGGCCAACAAACGGATAGGTATAAAAATAATCACTCCAGACCAATTATGGGCAGGGTTCGGCCCACTGGCCAAGTATGGCCCTTCGAGCTAATCAATCCAGCCTGCGAATCCGCAACATTCCTTTAAATAACTCCTACAATTATTTATAGAGCAAAATTTTACCGTCAGCAAAGCTAAAAAATAATTATGGTTCTATTCTTGTTGTGTTTTAGTTTTAACTCTAGTTTCAAATCAGTAATTAAAAAAGGGAAATATTTTTTCACTTGTTCGGGTTGGTTTTGTTATTTTTTCCCACCTAAAAGTTGTTTATTTCAATCAGCCTTAAAACTTAAAAGTTTTGCCCATGACTGATCTACACAAATATTGAAGCGGTAGAACAAGAACACAAAATTGTTAAAGTTTACATGCACTCTATAGATTCAAAACCCAATAAAGACCACAACTTCGGTTACTGGGATAGTGTAACTAACTGTATATACAAAATATGTTATCCTGCAATTTTAGAGGAACTTTTCAGGGTTCCCACTCAAACTTGACAATGAAATTCACAGTTTTCAAGGTGATGTTTGCAAGTGGTGTTACCGGCTTGATGTCGTTCTCCAGAGCGTGCATGAAGTCCTCCCTGCACACCAGTAGCTTCTCCATGGCAGAAGGGTCTATCTCTACTTTGCTGGACGCTTTGATCAGCCGGTTCATGGCTGTGGACTGAGCAGCTCGCACAAGACCTTCCAACTCAGCTCCACTGAAGTTCTTGGTCAGTGCGCCCAGTTCCTGCAAACATTTCTGGCTAAATTCCTGGGAAGGGAATGAAATTGTATTCGGAAAACAGGCTAGGCCCACGCTCAAATGTCTTCCCCAGAGTGCTCAGGAGGCGATAAAATCCAAGGGGTCAATACAAAAAAAAAAGCTGATCTACAGCTTTAACCAATTTATTATTAAAATTTAATTGAATGCTCAGAACTCTTGAAGCGCTCAGGCCTATGGCAAATTAACATACTAGCCAACAGCTGATCGAAAATTTTCATCTGTTGGTCCAGCCCGTTAACAAACACTAGTAATGGGGTTACATCGGTGATGTTATAATTTAAATGAAGTACAATCTGGTCGGTTTGGAGTGATATTATAAATAAATATATTGTACGTGAGTGTTTGTTTCTACTTTATTGTGTTTGAGCCTATGCCAACGTTCATTGCACATAGCTTATGGAACACATAGGCCTAGGTGTAGGCTATTGTGGATGTAAATGGGTAAGAACTAGTGTTTCCTTACTCTAGGTATGTTTTTACCCCCTTTAAAATTTGTTGCCTCACACATTACCTATCTCCTTCTCTGCTTGAGATATTAGCTGGGTCAATAATTTATAATATACTTAATCTTCTTTACAAGGAACATAAGAGCACAATGTCATATGTTTTCAGGGTTATTTGTTACATCAAGCTTACCAGATTGGGAAAGTCTACTCTGAAATAGGGAAATTATTTTACACTTTAAAAAAGTATTATTGCAAACCCAAAAACAAAGACAAAGACTTAAAGAAAAAGTTCTAAGACTACTTTCAATTAGATTAAAAAATAATTCATTCGTTTTAGCAAAATATTTTTGAATGGTTACTCAATTTTTCCTAGATTTTTAGCAAACACTGTTTCCCACCTTTAAGTCAACATCTGCGCTCAACTTTTTGTATTCTTTCATCCGACTGGTGTGAATGTTGAGAATCTGCACTCGTCCGTTCTCATCGGGCAGACTGATCTCCATTTGAACCTGTATATAAAAATAAGCTTATAAATTTCTTTAAAAAATTAACCTTTAAAAGTATACATGTTTGTTGTATGAGGGTTTTCTGTTTTTCAAGTTTTTTTGTACCAAAGGATTTTTAAGTTATTCATTTAAATAAAAGGATTATTATGTACAAGGATGGGGATCAGCTAGCTTACCTGGTAGGCAGAGTCCAGATTAGCCTTGATTAGCCTACACATAAAACACATGACACAACATAGAAAAACTTAATATTTCGTCCCAGTTAGGGACTTCATCAGAAGGGAGAAGAAAGAAAACTTATTTAGATCAAAGGTAGAACAAGAAAATAACCATTAAAAAATATCCAAACAGTATGTAGATTATATTTATAGGAGCTTCTTTTCACAAACATAAATTTAAAAGTCCTAGCTAGGACGCTAGACTCCAGCCCGGGATTGGTTTTAAAATTACTTCAGGCTATAGCTAGGGGTTGCGGCATTATCACTTAGAAAAAACCCATTGGTGACTTGGCAGTATTTCAACCCGGGACGTCAGGGACCAAAGACCACTAGACCAGCTCGCTTCCCCTTAAAAGAGGTTGCCCTTTGAATTCATCAACGACTTTTCCATAATCACCTTTCATGGCCTTACAGTGGCTTGTTTCCAGCACCAAGAATTACATTTTGAGTATTCCGGCTGAAAAATCCAATCTCACCTCCAGTCTGCCGGGTCGCATCAGAGCCTCATCAATCATGTCACGTCGGTTGGTCATCCCGATCACGAGGATGTTGTTCAGTTGTTCCACACCGTCTATTTTGGACAACAGCTGGTTGACCACGGTGTCGTGCACGCCGGTGCTGCCGCCTGACGAACCTCTCGCCTTGCAGATGGCGTCTATCTCATCGAAGATGATGATGTGCAGCCCGCTGTTAGGACCCAGCTGCGAAGTTAGCCAGTTGTTGATAAGAGATAACATAGTGTACAAGGATGTAGGTGAAGGTCATTTGTCAGGATAACAAGCTTACCTGTATGAGTCCACTTCAACACAATAGCTATTTGTGTATTAAGAGCGTAAAGTATGTCATTGCCGCTTGAGAACCGTAGATGGCCGCAATCTTTAGCTTAGTGCGGCTAAAGATGTAAACTGAAAATATCCCTCTCTGAGTCCATGTCAAAAATGTCCAAGTTCAAATGAAAACTAAATAGTGCCTATTTTAGTTTTTACTAACTTGTGTAATATAGTAAAATCAATAGAGCATAAAATCCTACAAAAATACTTTTTCTCTGTTCATTATAAGACTTAACCCAAACTACATAAGCACTTGTGTACAAAATAAATAAATAAATCTGCTACAATTTAAAACTGAAAAAAATGTCAGATCCATTCATAAAGGCTTTGATGAAATTGTAAAATCATAGTTACCCTCTTTTCTTCTTCTTCAGCATCAGCGAAAAGTCTACGAACGTTTGCTTCAGATTCACCAACGTATTTGTCTAGAATCTGTGGCCCGTTGACTATTTTAGGTTCTCTGGCGTTCAACATTTTTCCAATCTGCCGTGCCATCAGGGTTTTACCAGTGCCAGGCGGACCGAACAACAAAATGCCCTTGACGTGCTTGCAGCCTGAAAATAAACATCTGAATTATATCACGGTGAAAGTATTATTCTCGCATACAGTTAAATAATTGATAACATTATACAAGTTTGATTCAAAGTATTAAAAGTGATTAAAAAACGATAGAACTATTTTTGGATTAAAATGAAATGTATATAATTTTAAGTCGTCATGTTATAAAATCTAGATATTAAAAATAGATGTATTTAAGTCACAAAGTTCTTTATTCCACTTGATTCGGGATCGGCTTATCAAAATGGAACAACAAAAATGTCCAACTTACTGTTGAACTAGTCCTTGCAGAAAATGTACATAACTCACAAAGTTAGTCATTTGTTTGTGCATAGTCTTTTTTCACAACATGTATAACAGTTCAACATTTGCAAACTGCCTTTTAAAAGCAAAGTTTCTAGTTCGGTACCGACAATAATCACAAGTTTCGATCTTACGCAAGGCAAATCTACTGTAGTAACTGCATTTCCTGGTTTTAAAGACAGAACTTTATATTAGTAAAAACGATAAACATTTAAAAAAAAATAATAAAATCTAAAAAGATTAAAAACTAAAAAATGTTTATATTTATCTCATAATTAGCAAATGCAAACGCACAACTTAAATGCTAATCAGGAATAAATTACTATAACTATTATACATTTTAACATATTCCAAATCACTCGCTAGGTCTAAAATATTTTCAGAAAATGACAAACACCTAACTGCTCCACGATTTCTTGTGGGAATACTCGAGACGCGAAGGCTCTTCGGAAGATAGCGTTGAACTCATTGTCCAGTCCACCGATTCCCATACTCTTGAAGTCCCAATCAGGGTTTATGATTGACTGACGGACAACTTTCCTGTGAAAAGTCACAAAAATTAAGTTTTTACGATTTTACCGGGCAAATATAAATTTACATTCTTGTCACTTTTTTAAATACGAGTCTATATCCTCATATGCTACCTGTACAAAATCAAAATTGTACAGTTATATTAAATCACTTTTTACCATAAACTTACTCATAGTTATGAAAACAGTTTTATCGATTTTAAATACATAATCTGTTGTTTAACAATAATTTACAAGTAAATAACAATACCAAGCAGTTAATGCATTGATGATTAACTTATTGGCTGAGCTGCCAATTAAAGACTCCTAACAGATTGTGCCGTAAACATCCAAAATTTGTATCTCGTTACAATCAAACTGAAACAACTACGATTTTGGTTGGACTGAATAGAATGAGCCCTATCAACAAAGAGTTATTTAGAGATAAAGAAGTAAACTGATAAACGCTTACAATCACTGAAAGTTTTTTTTTTTCACATCAAAACTTAGTTGCATAGGCCTAGTACATTCTAAAGTGTACGGAAAAAAAACATTTTTTAAATTCTAAACATACTGTTGGTCTTATATAACCAGCATTAAATTAAACCAGCATGTTTGAATTCCTAGTTGTCCATTGTGGGCTTTTTAAAAAAATATCTTGTTTATAATTCATTATTTAATTCAATTAGTTTAATTGATACATATTAACACATACCCTTTGGCTTTTCCAACCAGATTGAGGGAGGAGTTCTCTGCTTTTTCAAACTGAATCATGGTGTCCCCCAAGCACCGTCCCATTCTTGTCTTTCGAGGTTTAGCATCCTGTCCGTTTTTTATGGCACTTATGTCAACAGCTGAAATATTAAAACAAAAATCAAAAATGGAAATAAAATTATTATTAACTTGGAACGAATGGATAATTTTAAGTAACAATTGTGAAATTAAGGATTAGAAGTCTTTAAATAACAAACTTAAGAGCATAAGGCGAGCAAACTATAGTTATTTGTGTAACTAGTGGTGAAAGTGGCACTTTGCTGCACACGAGAGCAATGTTTACGCACTCGCCTGCGGCTCGTGCGGAATGTGCAGCAATTAGCAGCTTTCTGTACTATAAACAGTACAAGGAAGCCAACTTTGTGGGGTGACTGTAGGAAAAATACTTTGCCACATAGTAATACACCCATTATCATTGACTAGTGTAGTAAGCTTTATATCACATTTTCTATAAATTCTTATGTGTGTTATATTGGTTACATTGTTGTTTGTTTAAAATGGTTTTGAAATTTGTTAAACAAAAAGACACAAATAACAAAACAGCCTAAAGGCTACATAAGCCGGACAGAACCAAGCAAATTGTCTTTACCTTAAGTTTGTTATGGATTTATTCATAAGAAATATATTGAATCGTGGTACAACATTACTAAAACTCTCAAACATACACTCACTAATTGTTCTATATTTTTTATCATTATCATATTGTTAGAATGCGTAATGAAGTACTGTTGGTAGCTCATTAGTTTTAGATCTAATGTGTACATACCTTCCAAACTTTTCACGTAAAGGCTCAACATCTTTTTCTCCAGAAACTGGAAAGCCAGGAGTTGGCCAACAGTGAATGCTTGGCCGGAAAACTGCATGATAAATTCCTTGGCCATCATGTCAGTGTCGTACGGCTCAGTGGTGGATCTGGAACCAACGTAAATGTTACGGAAATTTAAATAATGACTGAATCAAGGGTTAATATCAATGAGGACAGAGGATACAGAAATCCAGTCAGAACTCTATGTCTAGAGGTCATTTAATGGATTTTTTTTATTATACTCATCTTGGTTTCCAGGAAAATTATATTAAATGATAAAAATACAACACTATGATTCATACTTAATCAATAATTTCCAATAAGTTGGGAGACTAAAACAAATGAGTGTGTAATGTCAGAACCAGCAATAACAGTCTTCCTTGCAACGAGTAGGGCCTACTATGAGTACTCAGGACACACTGAGCCTAAACAGGAAAAAGGAACTCAATGCGCTCCTGAGTACAACACACCTCTGTCATCTAATTGAGGTCATCTGGTACTTTATAGTGAAAGTGTCAGTCTCCAAGCAACATTATTCTCAGAGGCGGCCCTACATATAGGCGAACAAGGCAGTGCCTGGGGCCCCGCACAGCGGTATTTCATGTATTAAGAGCTCCGCCCTTTTGAACTTTGCCTTGGGCCCCGCAATCTCTAAGGCCTCCACTGATTATTCTTTGCGCCTAAAGCTGGATTTTCCTAGGCATGAAAGCAGAGAGCAGAGTCCGATCTCCTCTTGTCTTAGTAAATTAAAGGTAATATTTTTCTATAGAAGTGGAGCAGACTACTGGACTGGAAAATGGCTTCCTCGCAGTCTGCGTCTAGGATAACCCAACTTTATGCGCAATTGTGACCTTTTTAATCGACTTTAACTTACGATTTCTTTTGCAGAAAGTCAGCCTCGAGAGTGATGGTGCAGAGGCACTCTGAGCTAGACGTTGGGTTGAAGTGGTAAGGCTTGACGTCAATGTCCTGGCCCAGAGACAACGTAGCCCACTTACGTTGCGGCAGACTGAACCCAATTTGACCCCGAGGGATCTCCGGGTGGTATTTGACAGAGAAGACAAAGTGCTGTCCCGGGCCAGTGCTGACTTCGATGTGTCTGTAATGTTTGATTGCATTTACTAACATGTATTTTACTTCACTTAATTACTAAGACATTTTATGTCAACTGAAATACCACCTCCAAAAATATGTTTTATTCTACTAATTTCTAAAACAAATAAAAAAGGTGCAGTTGAATTTCAATTATACTAATAAATTGGGAACATACAACATTCTGAAAGTCAAAAATCCGGATGATTGGATTTATACAAAATTTGGGGTATCATACAGGAAATAGGCCGAGTCAAGCCAGGCCTTTACTATTGCGATCGCGGAACGCATCAGTAGGCCTACGGATGTCGGGATTGAAAAATTCACTCTATCGCGGAGGGTGATTTTCCAAGACCGTGGGAGACAAAGATGATGTCTACAAGACCGCAGAAGATCATTAATATTTTGCCGCAATTGCAGAAAACGATAACAATGCATCCATGACCTCGAGAGACGGTGATCATGTCTACAGGACTGCGGGGTAGGGTGTGGATTTAGCCGCTATCATGGCTTTTGCCTTCTTTAATAATTTATTCTTATATTGCTGTGGTTTAAAGCCTTCAAAATTCTTTCTGTACGCGATTTTGGATAATTGGAGCTCTACTGTAATTCAATAGAATTAAGGTTCAGCTAGCTTGTATGAGAAAATTGGTGTTCAGGGACTTGACTTATAAACAGACAATAAGGTCACATTACATTTTAATGCCAAGCGAGTTAAAAGGTAAGCTTAAATACTTAAATTACTAATAGGCCTATATAAACTTACTAATATATAAATATATTAAACTTAAAGTATTTAATTGTTGTTGTTAAACTTTCTCTTTTAAAACCAATGACAAAAAATACCTCTAGAGCCTAAAGCATGAGAATCGTTAATTGAAAGATTGGTCTGAGAATCTTAAAATTGTATGCAGTTTAAACTGAGTTTGTTTTCTGAAAGCTTAAAAAACAATTAAGCTACCAAAACCAAATATAGAAAAAAAAACAATAGGTACTAATCACTGACATTAGTGTTTCAAATACTCTTAAAGTCATAATTGAAGTCAGCAGAACAAAAATTACAAGGCATTTTACAAATCTTATTCGCATAAATTGCAAAGTTGAATAAACAATTAATTATTTTCTTGTAACGTATCTTATAGGTAACTTAATACCCTGAATTAAGGGATTTCTTGAAAACTAATAAGGCCTACCAGCTTAGGTAATGTAAAATGACTATTTATTTTTTTAATAGGCCCTATAGGCTAGGGTCTATATAAACTTACTGAACATCATCAGGGAAGTCATCTTTGCTAGCAACGGCGCAGTTGGTGCGAGTAAGCTCATCAGTAGGACACCTTCCTGCTTTCATGCGCTATAAAAAATTACACAAATAACATTTCCATGATTGGACAAGAGCACAGAGAAGTAAAATACAGAGCAAACGTGCTTAAATGGAACTGTGCACTTTTAGCTCTGGAATGGTGGGGCGGAAATATACTAGTATCGAGCAAGGAAGAGCCTGAATGGCTATTGTTCACAACAGCAGTTGTAGCACATGCTCTTCCTACACCGTGAGTGCTGTAGTATGTGATGGTGAGAGGGGAGCAGAGAGCGGAAGGGGACGACCAATAGAATTTGCACTAGACACAAGCGACTGGTGCTAGAGACGACATAAATGTTTCCTCTTTATCTGACTTCTCTGTGGTATGAGCTAACTCGAAACAGTTTAGGCAGCTAAGTATTGCTAGCCTGGTGGTTAATGTTTCGAAATGTGAGACGAGAATGACAGGTTCTATCCTTGTCATATCCACAAAAAATAATGAGGTATGGATCCTGTTTGAATTCTTTTTCCTCTGGCCTAGAGAAGAAATATGTTTACTCAAAAAACCTAGAATGAAAAACCACTAGGTAGGCCTACATAATGGCTTTGATATAAGGGTAACTTAGGTCTAATTAATGAGTTTAAAGCTTTACAGGGGCCATCTTTGCTGAGGTGCAATCAAGGCTGCACTTAAGTTTAAGCCACACATTCATTCGATTGAAATTTTCGATTAAAACTATCAATATATCGATTATTTTGTTTGATTGTAAATATCGTTATTATCAAAGTATCGGTTGTTATCAGCTGTTTCTAAATCACTCAAAAACAGTAACGATAGGTAATCTAATATACTTAATTCAAGTTTTATCAGATGAAATTGTAATTCAAAAATAAATATCAATTCAAATATTTCAGTTGATGCAAGTTAGGCTGCCTATCGGTAAGTTAAATATTGGTTTTCAATGGTTGTTATCAGTATGTTGAGTAAGGACCTGGATTAGCAAAAAAAAACTCATTGACCGATTAATTTTTATGACATCAGCTTTAAGTTTCACAACAGTTCAATGTTGCCAGGCCTACTTTAATATTAGTAACTTGTAGTAGGCCTAAGCTTAGTTTTACTGTATATTAGAAGGAACTTACTAAATAACCACTTAACCATGAGAACAAACTAAGTATTTAGGTCAATTGTTACGGATTTATTTTAAATTTATTAGACTTCGAATACATTACACTCTTGCTTGACTAATCAATAAACATGATTCACCCTTCCATGATTTGAAGAAATTACACTTACCATGACTGACATCGTCTTCCAAAAACAAAGTGGAAAAAATTAAGTTGTAAATCAGTATTTACAACTTCCTCATAAAACTTTACGTTAAATACACAGGATTTTTAACAATAATTAAGCAAAGACGGTAATATTTACGAAGTCTGAGCCACTGAAGTCTGCTCCTACTGTAATCATTACCAAGAGGAACAGACGATGCAAACAGAAACGCAAACCCGCAATGCAGCTGTGTGGCAGAAGTCAGAACTGAGTCATAGAACGTTAAATTACAAATTACAAATCAAATGCAATACTATAAGAAATTAAAAACTGTGTTTATCTAGATGAAGCGGCTAAGTTTAGTCTAAGGGAGTATGTTTTATCTAAGGGAGTATGTTTTATCTATGGTTTTATCTATAGTTTAGTGTATACCATCCTTGATAATGAATTTATTTGCATAATCAATAATCACGTGTTTCTATTTATCATGACTTTGTTTATCATCCAAATAAATTTACAGTTGTTGAAATTCTCAAGTCAAGTGTTCGTAGAAAAAGCCCAGTCTAAAATGCTAAAACAAAAAAAAAATTAAAATACCGGAGTACTTCACTTCCCTCCGTCAATTTTTCAATTGTAGCCTCTATATTTGATTTTAGTGCAGTGAAATGAGAAGGCAGAGGGATTTCCTGGGACAATCGAGGCAACAATTGTGATATTTGTATTACTTTGAAAGTGCCCGGACATGACTTTATAGAATTCACCTGTCTGTGATAGAGGCCCAGTATACAAGTTGTGTTTCTTGGGTGGAAGTTAGCAGGATGAATGAGAGGAAGCAATGACAAGATCCTCCGTTGTAAGAAGGTTCCGAATGTAAGACGTCAATACCGACCGCCCCAAGCTCTGATTGGAAGAGGGGTTGCTTCAAAGCCGAAGCCCTTTGTCCGTAGAGATTGGGGCATACTATATTATCTAAAATAAACCGATTGGCTTGGTTGTATGACATCAGTATCCAAACAAACTGTGAGACAGAGACAACCCCTTTGCCCATGGGTTTATTGTAAACATTGTATGTGCTTGTTTGTTTTTTTTTTTAAGGGAGAGGAGGGAAAATGCTTTTATGCATACATGTGACCAGCAGCCTGTGGTGTTAGACTCCTGAATGTGCTGCCTGACGCTGCACTCGGGCGAGCCGCATCCTATGTACCTCCTTATTGAGAACGTCTGCCCACACCTCCGCTCCACGCCGTACAAGAGTACGGACTGGACCAAAGGCATCAACAGCCTTTCGCGACTGGACCCAGGGCCTCTGACATTGGCCATCAATCGGCTAAGAGAAGAAACAATCCTAGCGGCCTTGTTCGCCGCACGAGAGATCTCACCAGCAGCTAAACTTGTATAGGTGCTCTAGATTCTCACTTAACTATTGATATAGGGTGGTCATACATGATTGTACACATTTTAAGATTAAACAAATAAATAAATAACCAAGCAACTTGGAAACAAAGGAACAAGGGTAACAACAAATTAATAATTATAAACATTTCAATGCAGTCATTATAAAAAGTAGTTATAAAAAGTTTGTAAAATCACCTAAACTGTTATTGTAAGTAGTTATGTTTTCTTCTGAGCAGATGAGGACATTTTAGACTATCTATATTTTGGACACTTCCCATTCGTTCAAACTGCTTGTACCACCATTTTATAGAATTGTTATATTGGAGACTAACGGTCATACTCTAAAAAAAGCCTTTTTCAAACAGTTTTTGAGTTTTTACAGATCTGATTTCATGAAACCAAAGAACATGAAGATGTGCCCCAGCGGCATGAAACAGCTGTAGTAGTTGATGCTAACTACAACATGGATCGTTTGACCCAAAGGTAACAGGTAACATATAAACCATTTTATAAACCAAAGAACGCACTTTGCTTTTTCTTGCACACACTTCTGTCACACTTAAGTCATTGAGAAGAAAACATAACCTACACTCACAGTTTAGGTGATTTTTAAATACTTTTTCCTAAACATTGCTCTCGTGTGCAGCAAAGTGCCACTTTCACCACTAGTTACACAAATAACTATTTCCTACAGTCACCCGACAAAGTTGGCTTCCTTGTACTGTTTATAGTACAGAAAGCTGCTAATTGCTGCATATTTATACTTTGCCGTATGGTTTATACTTTGTCGTACGGTTTATACTTTGCCGCACATCAGGATTCCAACGAAACAACACAAAAAACAGCGTGGTTCTATTATGCACCAAATCCGTGTACGCTTGGAAATAGGTTGGCAACACTTAAAGATAATAATACTATGAGCAGCTTACTTACTTACTTACTTACTTGATGATGTCCCACTAGCATCGCTCCTGCGACGTGGTCGTCAAATGGGTAGAAAAACAATAATAGGCCTAATTGAACAAATCTTCTACTTTAAAATAGGCCGCTTCACATAAATATTCTTTTAACATCTTCTTAAATTTATTGAAATTTTGCTCTTGGATAATGTTCCTTGGTAGTGAGTTGTAGATCTTGACACTACTAAAATATGGGCTCTTGCTGGCCAAAGTTGAGTTAACTTGGGGTAACTGCCAGCCGATTGACTATTATAACTACGATTTAACCTGTCATTTTGTGTTTATAGTTTCGGTATTTCTGAACTTTCTGGGCTTTTCTTTTAAACGTTTTTAAAACATTCCTACGATCTTAATAAACAAGAAAATGTATAGTGTTTGAAAGACTAATCAGGGTGTCCACAAAAAATTTGTCATTAATTTCCATGACTTTCCATGACCATTTACCATTGATTTCCATGACTCACGAACTTTACACGCAAATTATAATATAACATACACACACAAATAATACTGCCTGGACATGTTATTTTGCAGAAAATACTGAAATATGTAATAACAGATAACAATGGAGTACAATAGGTACAACAATAAACTAAAACAAACCGAAAACTCATAAAATAATACAACTGTAATAAATTGAATTGTCGAACATTTTTGAGAAATCCTGAAAAATGCTACAACAGTCCGGGTTACAGCTGACTAGAGCATTGAATGGTCCCCTCAAATCCATCCATAATTGGAAATTTCCATGACTTCTTGCCTATTTCCCTGACCAAAATTGTTTTCCATGACTTTCCATGACTATCCCTGACTTTCCAGAATGTGGACACCCTGCTAATTATTTATATGCTTTATAGTGACTGTAGGAAAAATATAATGTGTGCAAAAGGCCTTTGCCCACTAGTTACACAAATAACTACCCTATTTCAACCAATTTTTTTAATTAATGAAATTTGTATCATTATTTTTTTGCAGTTACTGTATAAAACTGTTTTAAATATGCTATTTAAGGCCGGCCACACACAGAACCAGGCGAGTCGGGGCGCGACAGGGCACGACGAGACGCCTGACTTAGGCCCCGTCTTGTTGCTGTCACACACAGAATGAGGCAGGGCACGTCAAGTAAAAAGTTTAGCCCCCATAAACCTGAAAATTAATATAGGATTTTTTTTATTTCTGAGCCTTAAGCCGATTTAGCCAACTTTTAAATTTGACTTTATACTTGGGAGCAGAATAGAAAACAAAATTCAAAGTCATACCTCCCACAGAGGAGTGGTTTTTGAAACCCTTAAGATATGAACGTTGGCCCTCTCTTTCCTCAGTTATCAATACCAAGATAAATTATTAGTTATTCAACCACTGTAGTAATATCATCACTGTATAGTCTTATCAAAGGGTGTAATCTTTGGTCGTATAAATTATTACAGTCTTGTATGTAAATTTTATCAGTTGTAAAATAATCCTTATCAAAATTAGCCTTTAAGGGAATAAATCACATGACCGCGCATGCGCAGAAAGTTCTGCCCGGCAGCGACTTGCCTCGGGGCATAATTTTGGAGACCTTCGCATTTTGCCCTGAGGGCGCCCGGGGGCGTCTTTTCGACGTGCCCTGCCTCGCCCGGTCCTGTGTGTGGAGCTCCATAAGCGCCCGTGCAATTCCCGTCGCACAAGACGCCCCGGGGCAAAATGCCCTGTCGCGCCCCGCCTTGCCTGGTTCTGTGTCTGGCCGGCCTAATGAAACAATTCCCATGTTTCCAAGTTGCTTGGTTATTTATTTATTTTGTCTTAGAATGTGTACAATAATTTATGACCACCCTGTATTTTAGATCATATTTGCACAAAGAATGCCATAGACAAAATGTAAATTAAGTCAAAACTTGAACACAAAGAAACTTTTCTAATTGTTGCTTTCTCCTCCTATTCATAGTAGGTACATGGGGAAAGTATTGTTTTCATCATAAATTACGAGTTTGAGTGGATATTTCCGTTTACAGATTTTGATGAAATTTCGTAATTGGGTACAAATCCATGGTATCTTCAGGTGTTTTATTTTTTGACATTTAGATTTTTTAGGCTTGTGGTGATTTTCTCCTAAAACCCAATTTAGAAAAAAACAGCCTGAATGGTTTTTGTTAAAATTTTGTATGTTACAGCCCTTTTAAAACTCTTAACACTATGGTACAACCCAATTGCTGTAAAAAAAGGTTCAAAAGTTATTGAAAATTATGTGATTTTTCCATAAAATAAACAAAAATTCTGATTTAAATAAGCTTGACCAATTTAGATTTAAATTTAGTATGTTATACGTTGGTACTTTTAACTGTAAACAAAAGTGTACCTCCATTGCTGTAAAAGTTGAGGTTAAAAAACTATTGCAACCTCGTGTGATCTTCAACAGGGCCTTCCGAAGGGGGGGGGGCAACCTGCCCTGGTCGCTGTGACTGAGGGGGCGCTGCGCAGCGGCTATTTGTATTATTAAAATACATACTATTAAGATATTCAAATGCGACTATTACTGGGGGGGAGGGGGCGCCATGACCACGTTTGCTCCGGGCGCCGCCAACCCTAGGGATGGCCCTGATCGTCAACCCATAAAATGTTAATTTATCTTTTCATATACGGTATTCCTTCAATAGTTATAGGGAATGTAGAATGTGTGCAATTAATATAATATGTTAACATTGTAAATTTTGAGTCATTACAATGATCTCTTTCGTATTAATTTTTATAGCATATGTAGTTGTTCTTTTCAATTTAATTGAGTTTACTGTAAAAAACGGTAAAATGAATATACTTGGAAAACAGGTTTACAATTTATTATTATCAATATAATAATCAGAACACTAAGTATGATTTGTGATAAAAAATAAATGTACACAGTTAAGAATAAAAAACATTTTGTAAGATATCAATCTAAACTGATATTTTAGTCAACCCTTACTTTTAGCTTTGTACTTATTAACACTAAAATATGTACAGCAACATTTTTTCATGGAAAATATATACACTTCCTAGATTTGTATATCTATTTTACATTTGCACTTGTAAAAATAACAACAAACCCAACAAAAAACAGAAAAATAGCTAACAAAGTCCTGATTAAAATATATAAAGATACATGCACAAAATTGCATACAAAAGATTAGGCCTATTTTCAAAATTCAACTATACCAATAGGTAGGTGTACAACTATATGTAAAACTACATGTATAACTTATTACAGTAAAAAGATTGCAAGTCAGTTAAATGCACACATAACGAACGTGGATAGCTCCGATCCTTTGGCAAGACTTTTACTTAATCAAATTTATCAGCTTAAATTTACAGAGATCATAATTTAAGTAAGTTATTCTCGAGAAAACAAGGCATACACACGTAAAACTTTGGCCCCTCCAACCTGCTCATTAGACCTTACAACGTTTTTGGCTACGGTCAGCCTTGAGTGAATGATTTGAATAATATTGGGGAGCTGTCAGACGTTTTTAAAAAATTGTTGGACCTGAAGAAATAAGTTTATCTCCGTAAATATGGCATTATTTCAGTTAAGTTATCAGCTCAACAAGAATTAAAATCCTTCGGAGCTATTACAAATAAATGAGCATTGAAGCTACAATTAATGGAGCTTTGGGGTCTTCCCAGTGAATAAAATTTGCAAAGAAATATCATGAACTAAGAAAATATTTTGCAATATTATTTCATCATTAATTAAAAAAGACCAAATTTATACAATGAAGATACATAATGCATATATAAGGTAGCATATATAATGAAACAAATAACAAAGATTGGTTGCAATTGACAAAACAAAAATATTTACAATCATCTTCTACTTCTATCCATATCAACTTCTAGTCCATACAGTCCAATACATCCAACGTCCAAGTTAGTGTCTCTAATTACAAATACAGTAGATTGTATCAGGACATATAGAAACAAAATAGGTAAAATTGATAGTTTATTGCCTAATGACTGTTTATTGGGTGATTTTGTGTCTCATTCTGTTAAAAGACTAGATAAGAAAATTATATAGACTCTTATTAAATGTGACACATAATAGTATACATGCCAAATAGGGAAATAGGCTAACTAAATTGGCTGAGAGGAGAAAACAGAAAACTACTAGTGAATGAGAAAAATTATTTAAAAAAATATACCCGGAGAATGCATTTATTATATACAGTCAATATCAAAATTTAAATGAGCTCTTTTACGTCCTAGGGAGTATCAAATCAAATCAAATCAAATCAATCAAATCAATCAATCAGAAGAGTAAAAGTCAGCTGTTGTTAACAAAGTTAACTTTGACACAGTAAACTTTCATTGTGTGCAATCGCGGTATTTACTCAGGGGAGGTATAGAAGAGGCTACGATGACAGCTGTGGGCTTCTTTTTAGCTGAGGGAACGCCTTTACCGTAACAAAACGGTCCGTAGCCGTCAGCCTAGGTGGTCTAATGGATAGCGTGCCGGGCTGACATACTGCAGGTCCCGGGTTCGAATCCCACTGGTATTATTAAACTTTTTGTCCAAGATTTTTTTATTATCAGCAAGTTTGGTTGGTTTGGTTAGGTTATTATAGTTTAATTTTATTATTAAGTCATTATAAAATGTTATTTGAGCTATTTCTAGTTTTATTTAATAAACAGAATTATTTTAAGCTTTTGTTATATTTTCTTTATCAGCAAGTTTGGTTAGTTCGGTTAGGTTATGATAGTTTAATTTTATAATTAAAAATAATAAAATTGAATTTGAGGAATTTATAATTTTATTTTATGAACAGAACTATTTTTGCGATTAGTTAACCTTCATTGCCAAAGTGTTCTTTACTACAGCGCTGTTCACGGAGGAATTTTGAACTAAATGCCTCATTCGTACCTCCCCTAAGTCAGACCCGTGCAATCGCATGTATTGAAATTAGGTATCGATTTATCCGGTGTACCTCGGCTTTGCCTTGGTCGTGAAACTTGAGCTCGGGTTGAAAAGAGTCACTTTCTGCCCTTGTGATGAAATATTTTAACTTATACAATTTGCGATAGAGCTTATGTATTTTTCTTAGTGGTACTTACTTTTAAATTTGAAGTTTTTAATCCTACATCTAAATTCTTCAGTGCAGAACTTAACATAGCCTTTTTCATTTTCTCTCTTTCATATTCCTCACTTGTCTCTAAACCTTTGTGTTGAGCTGGTCTTTTACTTGGAAGTTTGATTTTTGGTTTATCTTCTTTAGTTTTTTTTAGGTTTTGGTCCTTTGGTTTTTCTTTCTTAACATTTAAACTATTTATATTTTCTTGGGATGAATGGCTTGCACCAGAACTCGACACTTTTTCTAATGCTTTTGAGATCAAAACATCCGTCAGTTTATCTATTTTATTTTCCTTCACCTCACGTTTTTTCTTTTGGTTATTTTTCACTTTAACCTCTGTTTTATTATCCTCGCTTTTACTTTTTTTAAGAGTTTTATTTTCAAGAATATTGGCTTTAGCTTTAAGTTTTGCAGTCTTTTCTTTAGAATCTTTAATGGTGCTAAAAGCTTCTGACAGAAAATTTTTTCTAAGGTCATTGACATTTTCTTCAGTCTTCATTTGAGGTTTGTTTGACTTTTGTATACTTTCCGGCTTTTCTAAACGCCCCAAAGCCTGTTTCAACAATTGGTTTTGTAAATCATCAACTTTTTTGTGTTTGGCTGACTTTAGGTGGTTATCTTTTGATTTTTTGTGTTTACCAAAGGTTTCCTTAAGTAATTTGCTTTTCAATGTTTCAGAGTTGTTCTTAACTTTCTTTTCCTTCTTCTTCGATGTAGCTTTGTCAACTCTTTTCTTATCTTTCAATTTTTCAGAAATAGCTTTGCTTTTACTGGGTTCCTTTGCTAATGAATTACTGTCGATAGTTCCCGAAATTTCAATGTCCGGTTTTTCCGTGGAGCATTGGCCTTCTTTTTTACTTTCCAAAAGCTTGTTAGCTGCCATTTCTAAACTACAGTCATTAGGTGGAATATCTGCGTAACAATTAAGCTTATTACTATGGGTTTTATTTTTTTTCTTTGGGACGTTTTCATTTTTATCTTCTGCACCATTGCCATTGTAAATTTCCAGAGAGGGCTTTGATAAATGATTTTCATTTGACGATTTATGTTTTTTCTTAAGTTTTTTGGATGGGTGTAAATTTTGAAAAAAATCTGTAGCAGTTTCATCTGTTTGGAAACTATCATTGAGATTTGCAATTGGATTGGTTTCATCAAATTTCATATCTTTTCTTTTCTTCTTATCTACCATTAAAGCCTTGCTTTGCAGAGATAATATAATGTTCTTCTCATCTTCCCTTCCTTTGATTGAATCTACTTCTTTTGTATGATGCTTCTTTTTTTTCTTTTTCTTACTTGGTATATCAGCTGTCTCTAAATTTTCCACAGCACCATTATTGACTTTATTAGTACTTCCGTCACCTTCTCTTCCTTCTCCTTCTCTTCCTTCTCCTTCTCTTCCTTCAGTGACAATACATTCATGTAGAACATCTTTTGAAAAGTCTGTAGCAGTTTTGTCATTTTGGAAACCCTCATTGACATTTAAATTTGGATTAGTTTCATCCGATGTCGTATGTTTTCTTTTCTTCTTATGAAACTGTTTTGGAATTATAGTTTCTTTATCTTTTAGTGTACTTGAAATGTCACCATCTACGTTTAAAGCCCCGGTTTGTAAATCTTCTTCTTTAGTATGATGCTTCTTCTTTTTCTTTTTCTTACTAGGTGTATCAGTTGTATCTGAATTTTCCATACAATTATCATTATTTACTTCATTAGTACTTCCGTCAACTTCTCTTCCTTCGGTGAGAATACGTTCATGTAGATCATCTTTTGAAAGGTCTTTAGCGGTTTTGTCTTTTTGAAAACTCTCATTGAGATTTACATTTGGACTGGTTTCATCCGATGTCATATGTTTTCTTTTCTTCTTATGAAACTTTTTTGGAATTATAGTTTCTGATTCTTTTAGTGTACTTAAAAAGTCACTATCTACGTTTAAAGCCTCGGTTTGTAAATCTTCTTCTTTAGTATGATGCTTCTTCTTTTTCTTTTTCTTACTAGGTGTATCAGTTGTATCTGAATTTTCCATACAATTATCATTATGGACTTCATTAGTACCTCCGTCGCCTTCTCTTTCATTTTGTGGTACATCTTTTGAAAGGTATTTATCTTTGATTTTTCTTTTCTTCCGGTTGAGATTTTGGGTGGTGCTTGTTAAACACTGTGGCTCTTTTGAAATGAAATCCGCCCCTTCATTAACAACCATACCTGCATCAGCCTCTTCCCCATGGCAACCATCCTTACTACTATTCAGTGTGTTATGCAGATAATCCTTATCTTTCAGTTTTTTCTTCCTTTTCTTTTTCTTTGCACTGCACCCATTATTATCATCCATCAAATCAGAGTTATTTAAAAATTTGGATGACTCATCTTCCTCTTCATTGATATCTGACATAATCAAAGAGCTATGAAAATTGTCCTTTTTCCTGAAAGTAATTTTACTAAATGATTGTTCAAAATCTGTGTTTAAGGATATGGTGCTTCCCTCCCTGTCCTCAGAGGATTTTTTCTTCATTGTTAAATTAATTTTATTTTTCGCAGACTTTTTGGTGAATACTTTCCTAGTAGTTGTTAGCTGAAACAGAAAAATTTGAGGTAAAAAATCAGTAATTTATTTTAGCGCGATTAATTGGAAGCACTAAATGTCATTTTTTACAAAATAATATCTTGATGATTGAGTGAAACCTAGAAACTTAATAAACCAATCACTAATAAGATTCAAGTAACTAGGAAGAGAGCAAGAGGGAGGCAGCTTACTGAGAATAGTCGAGATCTATAATCCAGGGGGAATTAACGAGAGTCCGTATATCAAGTCAATAAAATGGCCAATGTCCGTTTAATGGTTAATTGCATACAGAACTGGTAGTTGAATGGATAACTTTGACAAAATTAATATTATTTTTTTAATATTATTTTTTTGAAGAAGTATAATAATTTTATACCTGCAATAGGTGAATTTAAACACATTCTTAGCATGTTTAGGATTTTTTGAAAGAACAGGTTTACCTGAACTGGCACAAGAAACACATGTGCACATTTTCAAATGCTGTCAGTGACAGTGAAATATTCTAATGTTTTGTGTAATTAGTGTAGTTTTGTGTTTCTTGTGACAGTTTGGACTCTTTCCCAATCATGTAAGCCTGCTATCCTCTAAAAATCCTAAAAACATAAGACCTTGTACTATGTTACATCCTTGACCTAAAACATTCTAAGCATTATAATTATTTCACAGTACAGGCTCGGCCATAGAATATTGATGGGACTTTCGGTCTCATCAACAAGTGCAATTCACTGTCTTTTACCCGTTCAACAAAATTCACATACAATTCCTGATCTCCAGGTTGGCTGACTAATAAGTTTAGAACATGCCTTTTGTCAATTTTCCTCAATAGGGGAAAATTAGCAGTGCACATTTAGTGGCCGAGTCATCTAAATACTGATTAGCTGGATGGAATTTGAAACCAATCCTAAATGTGAGAACTACAAATTGCAACTCTAAATTACTTGACATTTTAAGTGGCAATGCAATAATCTCACTAAGAATACATTGTTCTTTTTACGCTTTACACTTGTTGTAAACTCCTGTATTGTGAAGTTTTCTTATCGCCATTACAATTACAACTTCAATAATGTAAATTATGTAATAGTTTAGATAAAGATTTATGACAAACTAGCTTTCATTAGTCTTTGTACTTTGTGCATTGTAAGATGCAGTGAATAAAGAATTTGAATTTGAATTATGCCTATCAGAATTTTAGCTTGCCAACAAATACAAAATATGTAATAAAATCTTAAAAGAGACTACTTAACTCCTCATTAAGTTGATAACGACTTTATGGGTTTATGGGGGGGGGGGGGAATTTCCACAACTAGATATACCTTCCTCCAAAAATTTACAGTGCAGCCCTTTAGAAAAGAGGTTGGAGACCCCTGCTGTACGTTACATCCCTAAAATAAGCTTAGTGAATCAGCCTCTTTTGTATCCCCTCTATAGCCCTTGGTATTTAAAAGTTTGATTCTTAAAACAGGGTCTCCTTTCAAACTTGAAATGAGCTTCATCTTTGTTAACGGTCATATTTCCAAATTTTTAGCCACATTGAAAAAGTCAAAGGTCTCAGACCGGGTACAGGAAAAATCAAGCCGGCAAAGTAGCAGACCTAAGGTAAATAGAACAATACACAGTAGAGCAGCTGTGAATATACCTTAGCAATGTTGCTGCAAGTGGTCGACAGCTGCCAGTTCGGTCAAATGCAATTCCAATTCCAGACCTAGTTCATAGATCTATAGCACTAATATAAACTAACTAAAAGTTTTATTTAATCATTTATAGAAAAATTTCCAAAATTGTATGCAAGATTTTTTTGTATATAACAACCATCCATGCAAATATTTATCACCTTTGGTTGATAGATCCTTTAATATATGGCAGGTGACCAGTCAAGTCAACTTTGTCAATGCTGAAGGTCACGTTGTCACCAATGCTCAGATCAGCTCCGTCCCATTCATCGGCAGCAATTGTTGTTGGTCGTGGAATAGTAACATTGAACAATTTATGGACAAGGCACCCAATATGGTCTTCACTCTTTTTGTTCACAATTCCTGAAACAATAGGATTGTTTGAGACCTTGTGTAAATAAACTAACTATCATTGACCACTGCTTGTGAAGAGCAGGCCTATAGGCCCGTAGAAAAACTCCAGGAGGGAAACTCGGTACTTTCCTGTTAAAGGGAACATTCATTATTATCGATGATTTTTTTCGATATATCGATATTAACAAAATGAAACATATCAGCTGACAACTACGATAAATATTGTTCAGTATATGAAACTGTTCTAAAAAAAATAACCTAACATAACTAACCAAACTTGCTGTAACATTTAAAAATTCCGTGTTTAACTTGCCTTTTCTATTATCAAACCCAAACGGAAGTTTTAAATGGTACAGCAAGTTTGGTTGGTTGTGTTAGGTTAGCTTAGAATAGTTTCATTTCTTAATCCATATAGACTATTTTAGCCTAAACAAGATCAGTTAGTTGTTGTTGTCAATTTGTAATAGATCTGATCGGAAAACAAAAATATCGATATATCGAAAAAAATCATCGATAATAATGAATGTTCCCTTTAACAGGAAAGTACCGGAAACTCATTACCTTGGAAGAAAAGGTCTTTTTAAACCAGCAGGATTTGTTTACTTCCAGTAGGGTGATAGTGGTAAACAATCAAAAATGTATCTTTGCATTACCACAAATCCTAGGGGAAAAATTGTATCTGAAAAAATTGCTTTCTTTAGTGATATAGGGAAAAGCTTTTAACTCCTGAGGCTGTTGTATCTAACTGTGGCAATATTCTGTCATCAAGGAATAATACATGACCATATCTCGCCACCGTGGCAACATCCATGATAATTTCTCCCAATTGCAGCCAATTCGGCGAGCACGGCAACATAGTAGGTAATCAATCATTTTCAGTGATTGCAGTTTATTTTTGAATTGAAATGACAACATTAACAACTCTTTGCAGCATAAAACTTTGATTAGGCCTAATGTAGGCACATCATTAGAACTTCATGAAGGTAAACTTGGAGTTATTGAGGCTCGTGAATCATAAACTTTGAGTTTAGATTATTGATCGCAAAATATTACAATTTGACGTATTATGAATGTTAAATAAAGTATTTCAGGTTGCTGGAATTCAATGAAATTATGGAAAATTTGAGATAACAGAAATAGGTTATCGAGGTCCTACTGTATTATAATGCAAGAAGGCCTTAACCACATTGCTGTCATAAAAAAATTATTTGTAATTTTAGGTCATAATGATGCAGTTTACTACTAGATGGCAGTCTTTTATCCACACATTATTCTAGAAAATCTGTAACAGCTGTCCGTCCCTTCAGTCTTCTGGCAATGCAATTTAAATCAACACATTAGGGTTGAATCATATCTATTAACAATCCTTATTAAAAAATACTAGGCCTAACTACTAGGCTACTTAAGTTATAATTCTCACCAGTAAGTATACTTCCAACTTTGGGTTTAAAAACATAAACATCTGCGGTATAGTTGACTGGTATTTCAGGGATTCCTGGGATATCTTCAGCAAGAGTGTACACTTGGATGTTTTTGAAGCTCAAAATAATACCATCCAATCTGAAATAGATGTTAAATTGAAAATGTTTCAAACAAGGTTCTAAATGTGGTTTAAAGGCATTGGTAGGGTTTGGAAACTGTTTATTAACTAAAATGTAGAGTGTGGTTAACACTTTAAGCCATAAGCCTATTTTTTTCTCTGTTAATACTTTTTAGCGAATTTCCCTATAGGGAAGTAGCTATTACCGTAGGTCTCATGGTAAGACTTAGGCCCGGGACCGATTTACTTTTTCATTTTGATGTCCCCAGAGGCCAAAAACACCATTCGTTAAATTTTTTATATATATATATATATATATAGATTTATATATATATGTGTCCGTGAACACGATAACTTGAGTAATTTTTATCCGATTTTGATGAAATTTGGTTTGAAGGTGTAAGACGGGATTAACTTGAATGAGTTCGCGATCCAGCATGATTGGACCATGGGAACAGGGTTTTATGGGGGGTTTTATGGGGTAAAAATTGGGTTTTCTCACTTTTGACCCTCAAAACACAAATTTCCCAATTTTTCTCTAAACCTTCTTAAAGAGCTTAAAAAAACAAACAATTCAGTATATCAAAGTGTTTTTGTACGGTTATTGGTTACGGAGAAAACTAAAAAAATTTTAAATTTAAAATTCCCATGTTATTCTTATGGAGAATATTGTAAAATGTTGTAGTTTGCTTGTTTATGGATATCTTTTGATCAAACTTGGCAAATATATTCATTTTCTACTAAGCAATAATTATTTAACTTAAAATACACACTTTATTAGTTTCCTTGTAGCAGCAAACCTAGGTACTCGTTAAACCTAATGTTATCTAAATAGATCGATTGAAAATCAATTCAGCCAAATGGAAATTCGCTTAGACGGCAGGTTTGCTGCGGCGGGGGTATTAGGTCCTTATAAGGCATAATATGCCTTAAAAGACATATTATGTATTTTATCATATAGGATACCTATGCTATTTATTTCAGCATGAATGTCAATATTAAACTAAAATAAAAGCAAAATAAACTGCCCGTATCATGGGTAAGCTTAAGAGTAACTATGAAATTGTATGGGGAAAATCACAAAAGTTGCAATATAACTTTTGAACCGTAATTTTTACAGCAACAGCTACAAGCGCACACTATGACGGCACGGCACGGACGGTCGGCCGGCAATTTTTAAAAGTTAATAACATTGAATGTAATATGAGTGTGCCCACTACGGCAGAACGGCCGGTCGGCAGCTTCCGCCGTTTGTTAAAAAGTCCGGGAGACAGAACTCTAGGACATTTCCGAGCTGCCGTACCGCCCGGGAGCACTGCTCACGGACCGGGTGGGCTGCATGGGACTTCTGCCATTCTCAACTGGTCTCTGTCAAAGTAGCAGTGTTGTAAACATAGATGTTAGAAAGTTGATTGTTCTCGTTGAGAAATATCCGAAACTGTACAACACGCGACATGCGGAATATTTTAATAAAGTCCGGCGTGAAAATATATGGGCAGAAATAGGATGTATTATGAAACAATCAGGTAGGTTTTACACTTCATCCTCTACAAGACCAGATACAAGGTGTGGAACTCTCCAAAACTTAGTCTTTTCCTGTTTATGGGGTGTATCCAAAATCGTTGCTTCCGCCTTCTTGTCTCCTCTGAGTCATTCCACGTCAAATCACCCGGGTCATGAAACCCAACATCTCAGAATTTGATGAAACTTTGTGAAAATGTTCATTCCTATGCCCTAAGTAAAAATACCAAATATTTTGAAGATACTGCTGATACTTTTTTTATATGAATTTTTTTCAGAAATGCCGTTTTGACCATTTCAGGCCTCGGAATCGACAACCAAATGTAGCATGGGTGACCAAAAAATTTAATTATTCGCAAACCATTTAAGATAACACTTTAAAATTTTTAAGGCAAGTTTCATATGTCTTGAACATACAAAAAAAATATATAGGTCACTCTAGAGTATAATACAAATTTATTAAAATTATTATATATTTAAATTTAATTTTTTCAAATTTGACCGACATGGATTGTGAAAAACGGCTATAACTTTTTTCTCCAACCAGCTAGAACAATTATTGTTTTTGCAGAATTTTCCTCAAACTATGACCTGTTTGAAAATATAAAGATGTTAGTGGTTTTTCTATGTACAGATATTGTAAAAAAGTAGTTTTATTAAAATATTAATTAACGCTAAAAATTTAGTAACATATATCTTGTATCTTAAAAAAAAATACTTACAAGAGTTTTTAGTTATGAAAGCTTAATTTACCTAAGTCCTGTAGTTCTTTGACAATATTAAATTACATTTTTGAAGATTATTTGATATTTCCTTAAACAAATTTAAAGCTAAAAGCTTTTGAGCGGTATACTACCTTGAAATGGTTGTAAGTTGTAACAAAATAGTTCGATGATCCTTTATTATTGGCTTATTTACAACTTGAGTAAATTTTATGACATAAGAGATTACACACATGACATAGTTATTTTGATTTGGGAGAATTTTGAAGTCCTTCCTGACTAGTAGCCATTTGTTCAGGTTTGATTCGGCCAGCTCTAAATCCATGGTTGTAAAGCTGATTTGCTTTTACAGCTCAATGAAGGCTTGCTTTTCGATGTGTGCGTTTTATGGTACCACCAAAACCATCTCAGGTTGACTTACCACTGCTTGTGGCATAAAAGGAGTGCTTAGCATAAATCCCAAAATCATTTTCATGCTCAAAAATATTTTTAAGTTTTTCCTGTTTTTATATTGCTCGGCACATCTATCAGTACAATGTGCACCTTTGTGACTGATGGAAAACTGTAAAACTGGGATTTTGCCTTTGGTACCTTGCTCTTGTGAGAAATACTTCAGATGAAGATGAAGACACTGAACTAGTATTCATGCACCCATATGGTCCTAGTAAATAATTTTACTGGCCAAAAAGAGAAGATTCCTGTTTTATCCCCTTTGTAATATTGTATGTTCAGTTGGTGCTCCACCAACAAGTTTTACAGGTTAGAACTTATTACCTACCTACCATAGTAATCCACTAAGGAGGATAAAAATAGATCCTTAGTCTATGTTACCTATTACTTTACAACTAAGGATTTAGAGCTGGCTGAATCAAACCTGAACCAATGGCATACTAGTCAGGAAGGACAACCATTTGAGTAAATTTTATGACATGCATAGTTATTTTGATTTGGCAGAACTTTGAAGTTATAACCAAATTTTGAAGTTTGAGTTTCGAAGTTTGTAACTAAAGGTTTAAAATCACTGTTTTATTAGTGATAACTTGTATCGTGATGTCTCTTTTGTTAGTGCCGTCCAAAGAAAAATGATGAAATGGCTGATAGACAGTTTTCCATCAGTCACAAAGGTGCACTATTTTATGGATGGATGTGCCGGGCAATATAAAAACAGGAAAAAACTTTAAAATAACTATGTCATGTGTGTTATCTCTCATGTCATAAAATTTACTCAAGCTGTAAATTAGCCAATAATAAAGCAACATTCAACTATTTTGTTACAACCATTTCAAGGTAGTATACCGCTCAAAAGCTTTTAGCTTTAAATTTGTTTAAGGAAATATCAAATAATCTTCAAAAATGTAATTTAATATTGTCAATGAACTACAGGACTTAGGTAAATTAAGCTTTCATAACTAAAAACTCTTGTAAGTATTTTTTTTTAAGATACAAGATATATGTTACTAAATTTTTAGCGTTAATTAATATTTTAATAAAACTATTTTTTACAATATCTGTACATAGAAAAACCACTAACATCTTTATATTTTCAAACAGGTCATAGTTTAAGGAAAATTCTGCAAAAACAATAATTGTTCTAGCTGGTTGGAGAAAAAAGTTATAGCCGTTTTTCACAATCCATGTCGGTCAAATTTGAAAAAATTAAATTTAAATATATAATAATTTTAATATATTTGTATTATACTCTAGAGTGAAGTATACACAGTTATTTTTATGTTTAAGACATATGAAACTTGTCATAAAAATTTGAAAGTGTTATCTTAAACGGTTTGCGAATAATTAAATTTTTTGGTCACCCAGGCCACATTTGGTTGTCGATTCCGAGGCCCAAAATGGTCAAAACGGAGTATCGGAAAAAATTCGTATAAAAAAAGTATCAGCAGTATCTTTGTAATTTTTTGTATTTTTACTTAGGGCATAGGAATGAACATTTTCACAAAGTTTCATCAAATTCTGAGATGGTGGGTTTCATAACCTAAATTTTTTGGGTGATTTGAAGTGGAATGACTCCTCTTCCTCTGCTAAAATTAAACCCACTAGGCCCTATCACCACTTTATCTACATCCATCTTTACTCACAAGTTTTAGCTCACAGACTGTCAACTGTGCTAAATTGCGGATGTGCGGATGTCCCGACCCGTGCCGCCCTAATGCGCGTACCCCCTCTTAAAAATGCCGTCCGTGCCATACCGCCTGTCCGTGTCGTGACGCCATAGTGCGCGCCTAGCTAATGGGAGTTGTACCATTTTGCTTTCAGTTATAAGGAATAGGCCTAAGACGGCAAACATAATTTTAATCAATCTTTCTTTTTTTATGGGTCTTCATAGGAAAATCACATTAGTTACAATAACTTTTGAACTATAGTTTTTTTACTGAGGGCACTGTTTTTTTCTTTTTTTAGTTGAAAGGACTACAGTACAACGTATTAAATTTTAATCAAAATCCTTCAGGCAGTTTTCGTGAAAGATAGTTTTTTGTTATTTTATCGGTTTTTATTGAAAAATAACCGTTGAAAATGAAAGTTAAAAAAAAAAAAATTAAAACCACCTAAAAATACCATGGATTCCTACCCAACCAAATAACTTACTAAATTTCATCAGCTGGATACACACATACACAAACACACCTTAGATATCACTTCGAAAACCACTTTTATTGGGTTCAGGGGGACCCCTTATGGATATATCCACATTCCACCCAAAATTCAAACTCACACGTTTTTTTTTAATTACTGAACAGAAATTATCACAAAAACTCAAAGTCACATAACCTTAGCTGTGGTTTTCCACTGTTTAAATAGTGGCGGCCCTCATCTGGAAAAAAACCCCCGCTAAGTTTTTTAACTACACTTGGGAACAGTTCCGCATAAAACCTGCGGTTCCTATATTATCAGATTAATATTGATATATTATAGGCCTTATTGATTTAGATTCGGTTTGATGTATCACTTCTAACATATTTTTATTTCCAATGTAAACGGTGGTACCGTACAATGTTACAAGCTACAGTATCAATGATGAAGATAAACATGGACAAATATATGCGGCTATGGGTGACTCAGGAGACATATGTAGAAAACATTAAAAACAAGATCCCAGCTTCTGAAAAATTATAAAAAAAATGTACAAGAAATATTAGGCCTAATTAATATTGAACTGTTATGAACAGCTTAGTTACATAAGCTTTTAGTTGAAGTCTTTTAAACTCATCGAAAATTATGACTGTTATTAGATTTAAAATAACTCCGGATAATACAGGTACTTGAAAATGCTCGATTTTGAGCAACAAGTACACCAGTTACCCATAAATTACCCTTTTTATAACTCTTTAACTGCCCTTTTCTCCCTAACATTAACCACATTTTATGTCTCCCCAACCAAAAGCCCCAAATTCCCACTGGTGCCATAGTGAGTTAGGGTTTCTATGTATGGCATCATATAGGCTACCTACCTACCTATATTTAGGCCTAGGCCTATCTAACTTATCTATATTATTAATACGCTAGGTTACACATGAAACTATGTAAACAATAAGTTATGGCTTTTTTGTTTTAACCCTCCGAGTGTCCATAGTTTAGGCCTTAATGTCCGCCTATTTTTGGCGCATTTGCAAGGTTTTATTAAAACGGATCTGAGAAGCTTAAAACAATGTTAATTTTACTGTTCTATATACCATTTTGTTTGGAAAATCATGGGCTTCAATATTATACATAAAACATAAAGAACATTTGTTTAAAAAAATTTTTGTAGGTAAAAAAAAATATTTTGGAAAATTAAAAAAAAAAAATAAGTTCGTGCACAATGAAATTGTATAAATTATAGGCCTATAAATATTTGGAAATAGCCACTTTGTTCTAAATTTTATGAGGATTACAAATATATAATAATATAAGGAAGTAGATTTGCAAATAAATAAGTTATGGGCAAAAAACAGATTTCAGTACATAGCGTTTAGCTAAGAATGCATAGCCTAACCATAGCTAGGAATCTGGCTGATAATTTACATCAATATCACTACCTACCTACTTCTTCAGGATCATCAACCAGCCCTTCAAAATCACTTTAATCTTCTTATAATGCACCACATATATCACTACCGGTACTTTTGATTTTTAACACTAAAACAATCCCTGAAAGTTTTTCTTTTTTTAACTTGTATATATGTATATACATTGTTTTATACATTGAACTGTTGTACACGTTGTGAAGAATTTTTTTTTCTTTTGTGCGTGCATAAGAAATGTTTTATTTATTTTTGACGAGACGCAATCTATCCCTATTTTGGGTAAAAGATGAAGAAGGAGTAAGTAAGTAAGTAAGTAAGTAATGATAAACGTAATAAAACACATCAGTCATCGGTCCGAGGTTAACCTAGCTGTTTACAAATACGCACGTCAGCTGTCTGCTACAATATTTTCGGAACTAAAATGAATAGCGCTTAGAGACAGACCTCCGGAGAAAGCTCTGAATCTAACAAAAAGAACGAAACCTAACTCGATCCAGTTCAATCAGATTCAGTCAGTCATAGAGCCTTCGCCGTAAACGATGTTCGTGTGTCGAAAAATCGACAAGTGACACTACACAAAGTGTGTCGTGAGTCGATTTTTCGACAAGTGACGCTCGGAGGGTTAAGATTAAACCCCACATATTATATACCAAAATGTTCGTCTAGGTACGTAGATTTGCAAATTGACCTTACATTTGAGAAAAAGTCCCTTGGGCTCTGCCCCAGTGGTTTTTAAAAAAGTTCCCATGTTAAAATATCCTTATGAAGGAAATAACTTATTTGTTTACATTATGATCAGCTGGATGATTTAATTGCTGTTAATATTTTATTTCAAATTTAAGGAAACAATGCTACAAACTTATTTATTGGCTTGGTTGAAATGAAATGACTATTTGAATTAGTGTTGACGTAAATATTACAATGGAAAAAAGTGAGAAAGCTTGGAAAATGTTGTTTAGTAAATAGAAAACTGAATTAACACTGTGCTGCATTTGAAACAAATAAACACATAGGCCTAACCCTACTTTACATACCCATCGTCATAAGTCGTGATTTCAGAGTCCAAACATTCCTTTACTGATTCCTTGAGATCCGTTAATTGGCAGGGTTTTAAATATAATTTTCGATTACATTTTACACTACGCTTAACGCAGGATTTTTTATCAGCGATCAAATTATTTAATTCACTAACCTGAAATTTCGCGCTTATAGTCACCATGTCGTCACTTTCGCCATAATTTTCTCTTGATTTTTTTCAAACTCATTTCATTTTCACACATCACATCCAGTTCCAGAGTTGTTTATTCTCTTTCGTTACGCAGAGAGTTGTTTTTTGATTGTGGCGTAAAGACAATCATGTAGCTTCGCAGTTAACTCCACATAACTTCCTTGAAGAGGCTATGCAATATGCATTGATTATATTATGATTATATGCATAGCCTCTTTATCTTTGTCTAATTTTGTGATTCATGATAATCATAGATTTATTAGTCCTAACCGCGAAGTAATTATTTTCTTTAAATATTTTTTATTTATTTTATCTTCTAACGGTCGATAACCAGTTGACGATGAACATACAAAAATGGCATAGCCTACTCTAACTTATTTTTACTTTCTCTTCCTATAACATCTTAGTATCCTGTAGTCCGATTATGATTGAAATTTTGTATGTAGCCTAGGTTCTAAGCCATGGTATCTCCAAACGTTTAATTTTTTTGAAATTTTAATTTTTAATGGGGTTTCCCCGTAAAAATACATAAATTAGCAAAGAAATTAAATTTTCTAAAAAAGGATTTTGGTAAAACCATGTAAAACTTTAGTATGTTATAGCCCTTTATATTCTGAATAAAATTGTACAAATCCCATTTCTGTAAAAAAAGAATACAGTCCAAAAGTTATTGTAATTTATGCTATTTTCCCATTTAACCCATAAAATAACGGAAAATTGGATTTTCAAGAAACCAACAAACAAGGATCTTAATATAAAAGTTTTTCACCAGATTTGCTGTTACTCTATGTGAATTTCAGTTAGAGTATATTACTATGAACCGTCGTATCTATTCCATTCCTCTTTCTACTGTGCTTTATTACTCCCGTGATGTCTGTTTGTAACTGTTTATTTTGTTTTTACTACAGACAGATTTGATTACAGTTTTTGTGTATCCTAGTTTTGTTTTTGTAAAAATTTGAAATTGATACTGTAATTTGTTTATTTCTTAAGTTAGTTGGTTACTTGCCTTCTTGAGAAATATGGAAGATGAAGATGAAATTGATGTTTTAGGAGAATTCAACCTAGAAAATATTCTAACAAATAATGAACAAATGTAAGACAAGTTATGCATCCTCTTACTTATTCATGTTTGTGTCTAAGATAGGGCCTAGAACTAATAAGAGTTTTCCACTACATAAGTTAATAAGGCTTATCCAATCCATCATACCTGGTGAGACAAAGAAGGCTAATCTGTTTTACTCGAACCAAACCATTTAGGCTATCTCAGCCTGGCCTAGTCCTATTTAAGATTTAAGTTATGTCTGTTGACTTCCGTTCAGTTACGATTAGGCCTTATGCGATCTCATAAATTGATTTATCAAGTTAAACATTACCGGTATATCAAGTCGACCCGATATTTATTAGGCCTGAATATGAAATCAGACTTTGCATATTGTAGCCAAAGCCTAAGTTATCCTTTAGTTAAGGGAAAATGTTCGACGAGCCAAGGACATTGGACATTGTTGGGTTTAAATACAAGATCCCCAATAAAGAATCGAGGTGTATTACAGCATTTACCCTATGATTACCGTGTATTATTAAGTTTTAAGTTTATATTTTCCTCAATGTTATGCCTACTAAAATCTGTGATTTTAAGTTCATAGGCTATTTGAGAAAAGAAAACTAGCCTAGTTATAAGATCATGGACTTTTCCCTTAAGTTCATAATTGAGAAAAGATAAAGGTTATTTTAGTTAAAGGTCATGGACTTTTCCTACGCTAACATAGGCCTAAGTGTTATAACTACATTTTGATAAGTTTCGGAAGGTAAGGATATTCCTTTTGTTTTCAAGTGATTAGGCCTACAGTAGGCCCCAATTTAAAAATAACTTAAATCTAAAATGGTGACCATACGAATGTAGGTATTTTAAGCCAAGCTATGAATGGAGAGTGAACGATGAGTAGCGCGCGATCTTGTAGTCTTGTTAGTGACTAAGGCCGACATGTTACTTAGACACAGCTGTTAATTAATAGCCCATACAGCAAATGGCAACTAAGGGGCCTAAAGCTCATAAGAAGTGGAATCAGAACCACAGTTTTGCCTTATTACATATTACATGTACATTCAAGCCGTAGGCCTCTTGGTCTTCTTCCTGTGAGTCACCATGGAGGCAAAAAACAGCAGCCGACATAAGCCCCATGTCTAGAGAAGGTCCCCCATTTCTGGATCACTGACACCCGGCAACCCCTTGTACTAATTAGTTTGGTTTGTGTGGCTTGTTCGAGTAGTAAGTTAGTTACTGCGAGTGTGTTGTGGTTTTTCCAGCTACCATCTGGAGGATTTGGAGTAAGAAGTTTTGGTTTTAGTTTCATTTTGTTTATAGTAGTGTTTGGTTTTAGTTTGATAGGCCTATTGTTTTTGTGTATTATTTTTAGGTTATTTAATGAATGTAGGCCTATAACATGTAACCAATGTGGGAAAAAGCCTCTAGGAAGGTTAAGTTAGATAGGATGGGTTAATAACTGTAGACTAATATTTATCACTTGAAAATGTGAGGAGTATCCTCAACTCTCTAAACATAGTGTGTAGTTAAACTCGTAAGTTAGCGTAGGAAAAATCAATGAACTAAAATAAAAATACTGGTACAAAAATTATTCAAATCGGTTTTATTTTTGCAGGTATGTAAATAATTAGAGTAGGCCTAACTAATTTAAAAGTCTCCTACAGCACGGTATATATATACTTTCTTTGCATCTTTGCCTATAAATTAAAACAACAACCATAGAGTATTAGCTTGATCTTAGTAACACAAGGCTTAGTTTGACTTAGCGTAATTCAATTTTACCCTTACTATTTTATTTAAACAATTGTTTGAGTTACCAGTAATTATTAAGATATTTTAGGCTAATTATTGTTTCAACTTTTCCAGAACATCGTGTTATGATGGGGAACATCAGTTGGGTCTTAACTGTGATTCTTCATGGATGCTGGATTCAACTCAGTCGTGTTGGTATAACAGCAAGTCTGAGCCTCAGCCTTCCTTGGAAGAGTTCCCATCAACATTCAATGCTCCAGAATTAACAGACAGTAATGCTTGGTCTGAAAAGGAGAAATATTTATTGGAAAAAGGCTTGGTAAGACTTTTTAAATTTAATATATACTTACATATTTTAGTTGAAAAAGTGCTAATTATTTTTGCAACTTTAACAACTGTTTTAAGTCGTTTGTTTGCTGATGCGGAATGATTGAAAATCCGGGGATTCTACTGAGCATTGTCTAAGTTTTACATTAAAGTCATTTTTTTAGCATTTTAGAAATAGGTGCTTAAGTAGATTCGAAAAGGTTAGAAAAAGGTGCCATTTAACTGATAAAATCCTTTGCCTGCTAAAATTGCCAAACTGGTCTGAGACTTTAAGAGTAAAAAAATCCCCTTCAACTGATCCCAGATTATAGTGACTTATTATTAGGTAGGCCTATAAAAGTTTCTTAACTTGAAGTTAACTGTGCTAGTCCTTTTTAGCGAATTTCCCATATAGGGAATAAGCTAGTACCGTAGTACTCATGGTAAGACCTGGACGCGGGACCGATTTTTTTTTTTGTTTTGAGGGCCCTAGAGGCCAAAAACACCATCCGTTCAAATTCAAATATATATATATATATATATATATATATATGTCCGTTAGCACGATAACTCGAGCAAAAATGATCCGATTTCGATGAAATTTGGTACAAACGTGTAAACCTACGTTTATTCTAACGAGTTCGCGATCCAGCATGATCGGACCATGGGTACGGGGGTTTATGGGGGGTTTTATGGGGTAAAAATAGGGTTTTCCCATTTTTGACCCAAAAAACATAAAATTTAGCAATTTCTTTCCAAACCATTTTATAGGCTAGAGCTTAAAAAAACAAATAATTTAGTATATTGAAGCGTTATTATGCGCCTAATGGTTACGGAGAAAATTCCAAAAAATTGTAAATTTACAATTCCTATGTTATTCTTATGGAGAATAAGTAAACTGTTGTAGTTTGCTTGTTTATGAACATATTTTGATCAAATTCGGAAAGTGTTTTTATTTCTTACTAACTATTAACATAAAAAAAAAAACAGTTTTACCCTCCCTGATGCAGCAATCCTAAGTACTTGTTAAACTAATTCTAGCCTATTTAAATTGGGAATAAATGCTATATTTTTAAGTAGACATTTCAGTGTAAATCCATTAAGTCAAATGGAAATTCACTTAGTCTGCAGGTTTGCTGTGGCGGGGGTATTCTGTACCCCCTACATGAAAAATATATTCTGATATGTAAGTTAAAGGTTGCAATAACGATAGCTCTAACTTTTAAAAATAAGACATGAATTTTGAATAGGGCAGTACTTACTTTAATGGTGCTCTGTTTCAGGAGCTATTTGGAAGGAGTTATTCCCGTTTATCTCAGTATATAGGGACAAAAAGCTCAAGCCAAGTGAAGTCTTACATGTCTCATCAGAAGTCACTCGGATTGGGTTGGATTGGCAAGAATTCTGTGTCGTCGTCTACCGTTGGGGTTGACGGGATGGATTTCAACTTTACGGAAATAATCCATGATATAGAAATACCTGCATCAATGGAGGAAGTAAGTCAAAAGTGCTTTTAAAGGATCAAAATTATACTCTATTCTCAAATGCACAAGCCATAAATGGGATGACATTGTTGGACTTAAGGACATAAAGTATAAGTAGAACAAACAAAACATCATTATAAATAGAAATCTTTTATTTTGAAGAGACAGAGACACAAAAATAATTTTTGAGAATTGTCTTTTAATTTTTAAGACACACGAATCACTTAACTTAATCTAATCAAATCTTTATTTTATGAGAAGAGTCGAAACTCAAGTGCACATCATATAGGCCCACTCAAATAGGTATGTACATGTTTAATGGGAAGAATACCTGTACATTTTGATCACAAAGACAACAATATAACCAAACAACAACCAGCATTATGAGTTAGCGTTTAAAAAAGAGTGGTACAGCACATTTATCTTCACTGTTGATGTATAGACACTAGATTGTGATTGATCCTACATATGAATTAATAATGTTGGACTATCATGATTCTACTGTAGTACTGTAGTTGAAATTTTCATGATATTAACGTAAATAGAGATTTTATTTTGCAAAGTACACTTCCTGTAAAACATAATAGCTTCAAGCCTAGGCTTTTCCACTTTCTTATGAAGACCCATTGTTAAAAAATAGGTAATAACCATAACGTTTTGGTAAACTAAACTGTATTCTGGTATGATACACAAATTATATTAAATGATACATACAAGGTTAGCGTTTAAAATGTTGGTTTGTACTTATGGTTGATTAGTTATAAACTGTTAACTCACCAAGAATGTGCTGCTAATTTGTCTTTTTTTGGTTGTATGATGGAGTTTTTGTTAATTTCTTCAAGGTAATCGCAGTTGTCAGTACTGCTCAGCCAACTGTAATCCTTCCAAATTCCAACCGAGAATCAAGCTCAACGTCAAATTCCTCCTTAATCAGGTAAACTGAATCATAAGTGATGTGATAAAATAAAATGATTACCGGTACCTTATCCAACCACAGTTGGTGGTATGAAGACTAGTTCCGTTCATTAGAACTTCATCAGGTCATTTTGTATGCAACCACATCATCAATGCACTAATATATTGTGGTATGTCAATAGATTCTTTAAAAAACTGTCACAATCACAATTATTAAAACTTGTAAGATAGTTAAAATGGAATAAAAATTGAAAAAAAACCTGATTAAAACTGTACAGGCTGTCCAGCAATGTCTTATCACTGCCACAGACTAAATAAAACTGACTGAATCATGACATTTCTTCTTCTCTCCAGTGCCACATGTATTTCAGTTTGTTTTGTTATTCTTATTTTTACTTCTTTGATTTGTAACTTGTTAATATATGTATCAAATATAATGTTTGACTGGAAAGAAGTCTGATAATTTAAAATGTTACATGGTTCGAGTTTTTTAGCTTTGTAGACTGGTGAATTCTTCTTTGACTTGAAACTGGTGAAATCTTGAAATTTTTTGTTAATACTTAATCTATTTCCATGTTCTTATCAATAGATGCATGGTTGTGTGATTCTGATGACAAAATGTATTTGTTTACAGGAAAAAGTGTCGTAGGAGAAAACATTCTAAATCTTGTTCGAAAAGAAGTCAAGCTCCTGTTTCTGACTTCAAGGATGTTGCCCGAGTATACAAAGCTGAAGACATCAAGGACGTGTTAACTGGCAATAAGGAGCAGGATTCAATAGTCTTACCTACGGGAGAACAAGTGGTCAGTGTGAATGTTAAATTCCTTCCCTATGCATACAAGTGTATTACAGTATAGTGGTTTCTATATCGCCTTTACCTCCCTTTTCTAATTTATATTCAAACTAGCAGGGTACCCGTCCTTCGTACGGGGTTGGGATATAAGTATAAAATGCTTATTGCAGTTATACTCAAGCTTTGCGTTTGCATTGAGAAAGGACACAGTTTGATAAAATTTGCTTCTTTAAATTTACAGTATTTTTTAGTATTACACATCTACCATAGCCATAATGTTATCCACTTCACCTAAACAATAGAGAAAAATAAATTATCAAAAAATCGCAAAATATCACAAAATATTCATGAAAATAAAAACAAACATAACTGTAAACAATCCTACTTTGACAGTTAGTTCTCATTGCGTATCACAGTTTTTTGTTGCTGCTTAGTTTGCTATTTGCAAATTTGCTGTTTTCATAAATGCAAAAAAATATAGTGCTGCACCCTGTTGGTAAATCTTATAACTTTTAATGCTTTTGCTTATCATAGAACCAACTTTTTTAGAACAGCTGACTAAATTCTTTAATTCCCTTTAAATATTAATACTCATAAGGTTAACATGGGACACTACAGAGCCACTGGGATTTTTGAGATAAGAATATGACTATATGTTAATCGGTAATATACGCTATCATCATGCCAAATTTCAGCCAAATCCGTCCAGTAGTTAAAGCGTGATTGAACTTCAAACAAACAAACACACAAACTTTCACATTTATAATATTAGTAAGATATTGATTTATTTACTCATAGTAGGGCAAACAAAACCAGTCAGCAAAAGCTGATATTCAGATAATGGTTGTGTAAGTCTGAAAATCTCTGTTCATATGTCCCAGCATACTGGGTTATAATCTTGCTAATCACCTATGGCTGTTTATTTCTTGTCACTCCTTAGCGGAGCACAGGGCCTTTACGATTCCACTAACAGCGCCAACGGACACGATTAGCAGCCAATGCCTTTACTTCTCTCCAACTCTTTCCCGCCTCTCTGATTTCGCTTTAATTGATTGATTTCCTCCTCCATATTTTTCTCGGTCTTCCTCTCTTCCTTTCTGGGTATTCCAGCTCAAAGCCTGTTTATCTATGGTGTCTTGATCCTTGCGCAGGGTGTGTCCTATCCATTGCCACTTCCGTTTTTTTAATTTGTAGATCTATGGGTTTCTCTTTGGTGGCTGTCCACAAGTCTTTATTAGAGATTGCGTCTAGCCAATGGATTCTTAAAATTCTTCGTAAGCACCGGTTCACAAATACCTGGTAGACAACATGAAAGTTTGTGATTGCTAGAGAAACTTTCCATGTTTTACACCCATAAAGTAAAACTGACTTTACGTTGGTGTTAAATATTCTTAACTTTGTTCTGGTTGATACATCTTTAGCTCTCCAAACTGGGTATAGTTGAACAAATGTAGCATTTGCCTTCTTGGTTCGGGCCACTACATCATCATCCGCCCCTCCATTTTTTGTCAACACACTTCCTAAATATGTAAAAGAATCCACTTCCTCTATCTCTTCTCCAGCCATTTTAAACATATTGTTATTTACTGGATTAATCCTCATTGATTTTGTCTTTTGGACATTCACTTTCAACCCGGTTGCTTTCTCTTCTTTTTCAAGATCTGCAAGTTTTTCTTCCATATCTTTGAATCTGTGATATAAGAAGCAGATGTCATCTGCAAATGCAAGCTCTTTTCTGGTGTAGACCCCAGGAAATACCCTTTCCTTGTCTCCTACTTATGTTCCCCAATACCTGGTCCAACACAACCAAAAAGAGGGTTGGTGACAAGACACAACCTTGCCTCACCCCTAGCTTTACCTCTATCGGGGTAGGTACTGAAATGTCCATTGTGTATTATTTTTCAACTGTAGTTCTTGTACATTTCGTTCATTAGATTAACTTAATTTTTTTTTTTAGGAATTCCTAATCTTGTCAATCCTCTCCATATTTGATCTCTTCTGAAAGAGTCAAATGCTTTCATAAATTCTTCAGCTCTGAAGTACTAAATAAATGTTGTTTGCCTAAATCTGTTCAAAGAAATTGTGATGCGAAATTTTAACTTAAACGGTGTACAGGTCAGCATTATTAATTTTAAATTAGCAAAGTATATCCTAATTTAATATCATAGTGGAATATACATTTCTGCAACTGGTAGAGCTAATTAAAAATAAGAAAAAAAACTGCCCGTTGCATCACTGACATACTGGATAATACATTTTTTTAAAGACCATTGTAGTCAAATCATAAAACATGAAAGAATAAAATATTACGCTAATTTAAATAAAGCAACTAAAGTAGAACGAAAAAACCTATGCAGAAGTTTTAATGTATTTTGCTTTACGTTTACACCGACCTATAACTTACCACTTTGTTCATTTTCAGATAAGAATACGTCACGAATCAAATGTCAGCGAAGACGGCGAGGTAGATATTGATGTCAACTCTGAACCTGACACTAAAGAAAGTATTGATATAAAGATTCCTTTAGAGAATAAAAACTCACAACCGCTCACTAAAGAAACTATTGGTCCTGTGGCAGAAAGTTCCGAAGAATTAAAAGAAGAGGTGTTTGAGTTTGAAGAAGACGCAATCATAGATTTTTCCGATATCAAAGATGAGCTTTTCCTGCCTGATGTTGCCACTGAGGTGTCAGTTTTTACAGAGGGTTTTATCGAGAAAAAACCAACGCCAGATGTGGAAACTGACACTCAGGTGTTTAGAGGCAACCTTGTTACGCCAAGTGGGAAAGTTATGACTGTTATTGTCGACGATCTTCCAAACGCTCGTTATAATAATGTGGGAAATGGTAAGTAAAGTTTTCAAGTTTTTTAGATTCGAGTAGGTCATATAAGCTAATTTTATATTTTCTACAGTGGTTAACTGAATGAGACTGGTACATTTCATTGCTGCTGTAATAATTCATACAAGGAGACCCATGAGCAGATATCACATTTTAGTAGAGTTTAATTCTTGTTTTAGAGGCAAAACCCTTAGGCCTAATGATATTTATTTTTACCTTTCAATGATAATGTTTGTTTGATGCAGTTATTAGCCACTAGATAAATAAACCTACTAATTAACAATAAATAATTTTTTTATTGTATATCCATACCATAAAGAGTGATTGAATGGCTCCTGCCAAAAACGTTGTAAGTGCCAAATATTTATTTTCCAGGAAGTAATATTTTGTATAAAAATCTAAACATTTTGAAGGAAAAAAAATTTAAAAAAATATAATATGTTTATGATACTGTCTTTGGTAGGCTGACAAAATTTCATCTAATTGATATGATTAACAGCTGAGTTATTTAAAAAAAAGAAGGTAACACAGAGCAAAAACGTTTGAAACGACAGTCGCTTAAAACGTTCTTGCGCTCCTGTAAATGTGCTTGGGTGGTTGCAACGTTCCTGCATTGAAACACGCCTATGAGTAATATTAAGAAATTATTTTATTAAATGTAACAAAAATGTCGAAGATATAAAAAAGACACACATTGAATGTAATTGACAGTTCCTTAGTAATTAAACTCCAGGAGCTCCTTTGGAATTCATCAACACGAGACTTTATTGTTGAGCTTGAGGTTCACTGGTGGTAATCTCTTCGTAGAATGGCCGGAACTCCTCTGGAATGTAAGGCATCATCGCCATGAGATCCTTTTTTTTTTGCTGGTTGGATGGGAAGAGGTCCTTCATACATTTGATGGAATTGAGTCACTTTTACAGGTGGAAGGTTGAGGTCTCTCCTCCCTCTCATCTTCTTTGCAATGCAGTGGCTTGTCCATGGCTGTAAGATGTTGTGTGAAGATCTAGCCTGTAGTGTTGTTGGATCGTCATCCACAAGTTTGAGCCACACGTATTGGGTGATGCGGAAATCTCCTTTGTGCAAAGACTGTTCGATGATCGAGAAGTCTTTGATGTCTTCAGAAGCCATTAAAACAACTTCGAACTTGGTAGCAGCATTCGCAATAACCTCCACCCATTGATCGGGTACATACACCTTTGCAGACTTTTTCTTCCGCTCAATAAGGGCAAACTCCCTGTCACAGGGCAAAAAACTATGCCCAGTTGTCATGAACTTTTGTTCGATTGTTGTGAAATAGTTGTTCATAACAAGATGTTGCATGAGGGCAATCATTTTCCAGTTATTGTTCTGTCCCACACACCGGTCAGACCACATGATCAAATGGCGTTTTTTGTTTTCATTTAGTGGTTGAAAATTATTAGTTACATACAATAGGATTGCAGAAGCAATTTCTGCTGATCCTCGTTTTCCTTTAGTTTCGTCCCAGAGGCACATTGTAGCTTTTTTCTTACCAAGATTATCAATACAAAAGTTATAGCAAGATAACTGTCTTTGATAGAATATGTTGCCATGGGTCAAAGTAGGACAATAAAGTACTTGCTCAAGGTCAACACAAATGACAATGGTATCGTCAATGTTTTCTTGTGCCATTTTTGTGTCTTCGTCCAATGATTTGTAACCACTGTCAGCTCTCGCATGATGGATTCGGCTTTCATGTTCTAATCGTTTCATCACATTAGGATCGTTTGTGGATCTCATTTTGATGTACAAGCTGTCACACAACTCACAAGTATCTGACCGTGGAAGCCCGAATCTGAGGTTAAATTTAGTATTGAATGTGTCCCTATAATAGTGCAAACCACATTTGATATCAGGGTATTTCTCTTTAAAAAGGATCCACATCTTTTCAATGCTAAGATCAGCATCTAGACACAGTTTTTTACTTTCATGTCTAGAGTAGTGGTTCTCTTGAAGCGGAAAAGCATTTATGTGCTCCATTACAAGGTCTCTTGTAGTGTCTGGGACCCTGTTAGGCCTGTTGGTATGAGATCCACGACCGTCAAACAAAGGTTTGTGAAATTTAAGCTTTTCAATCAACATCTGAACTCTTCGTGGAGTTATTTGGTAGACGTGACAAAGAAATTTTTGACACACCCTGACTGGAGAACCATTATCTTTCAAGAAGTATTTTATGGTACAATGACGCTTAGAAATATCTTGATCTACTCTAGGACGAATCACCTCACCAATCTGCACGCATGATTCAGCTAAATATGTAGTTTGGCCATTGTAGTCTTTTTCATAAAAGTCTTTGAAAAGGGCACGTACGTCTTCAGGTTTGAACTGTCCACAGTTGAACTGGCACTTGCATACTCTTCCCTGTAAACAATGACATACCTGTTAAATTGATACTTATATTAAAAATTTACATTTTGGCTAACATGGTTTACAACGCTTAGCAGTTTTTACTGTGATCAAACAATTTCATAAAGTAAAGTGTTCGATTTATTAGCCGATCCATGAACAGTGATAACAGTGGGGACATTAATTTGTTGTATATAACCTCACCTAACAATACCTAAACTAATAATAAATAACCTTCATGAAATTTTATGTAAGATTTATACACGAATATTGTATGGGATCTACTTTACTTTCATGCTACCAATATAATCATAATAATAAACATATCAAAAATTCAGTAAAGGCAAACTTCAGTGGCACTTGCAACGTTTTTGCACTCACCTCTTTAGGAGGAAGTTTCCCTGGCTTAGGTAGATTTTTGTGTCCCATATATGGTTCCCCAGCGTTCCTACGTCCTTTTTGAACATTTCTCTTCCATTTATCAATATTAATCTTCCGTCTCTTGCTCCTATTTAGTCGATCAACATCAGAGGGAGTAAGCGTAACGCCGCCTGGAGAAGCCATGGTTTGGCACTTACAACGTTTTTGCAGTGAGGCGTCTGGAAATGGCGGGAGTTCGCCAGACCCAGTGCAGCCAACAATTTTTTCTCAACACTAAAATACCCTGCGTTTCATTTGTAATGTTGTTTCAAACGTTTTTGCATGGAAAACGCTGATTTCAATTTTTTGGCGTTTACAACGTTCTTGGCGGGAGTCATTCGATTGTCCTACCTCAATCAGGTTACAATTTCAGTAAAAGTAGCCAAGGCTATTAAAAATCCTTTCACTTACTGTTTTGTTTCCTGTTTACTATCTGACTGTGATTAAACGTTCAACTGAATTACAATTCACAATTTAAAAAGGAAGTTCGTCAGAATCACTGGATCTTTGAAAATAAACTAAATAAATCAAGCGGTAGGGGAGCGAAGCCCCAAATGAAATTACTTTTTTATTTACCATTTGTTAGATCAGAAGCTTTAGGGCCGGCGCGCACTATCCCGACCACGATGTTGAAGAAGTAGCTGCTGTGGTGCATTTGTATCGTAGGTGTGTTAAGCGGAAGAAGAAACGCTACTGGGTACATCCAATGTTAACAGTCAGGTCTACAAAAGGGCAGTTTGCAACATTTTGCAACAGTGTCAAACTCCTGCGACATTTTACCAAATAACTCACTTCACAGACCGGCGCAAAAAGCAAGTGATCACCGGTTGATTGATCTAGGAATACTGGGGGTTGAGTTGGTGTACTGGTCGGGTCGGAGGCAAGTCGGGGGTAGTGCGGGTCCTCCCATTACATTGTGTGCTATTTTTGGCTGCAAAGGCCAGCGGGTCGGGCCTGACCAAACTTGAAAACTTTGGACGTGCCAGGGTCTGACCAGTTGACCAGTGCGCGCTGTTCTATTTATTCCTATTATAAAACTGGTCGTATCCGACCAGTCGGAGTCATGGTCGTGGTCGGGATAGTGCACGCCGGCCCTTAAAATGACACCTAATCGTAAAAATCGGATAATTAGGACGGGAAACATGCTACAGAGAATTCTGTTATCGTAGTAGTTATATAATTATTTACCTAACAATGCATGATAGCAATCTTCTTGGAGGTTGGTGGGACCTTGGGTTAGGTACTACTGCAAATCCTAGTGAAGACAGGTCTTAGACCAGTCATGTGACTGTGTAAATGAAACTCAGTGAATGAACGGCTTGTGTAGTGAATGATTGTCCTTTAAGCCTTACCTGGTAGGGTAGCTTGACCCACAAAATAAAAGAATCAGCGCTAACTATAACAGTAGAAAATAGATTCAAACTGGCTCGACACTTTGATCTCAATAGTCATTTTAAGGATCTATGTCGATTCTTGATAGTCTTAGTATAAACCCAAAATTGTTCGAAAGCCCATTTGTGGTCCAAAATTCAATTTAGCTTACATCCTTTATCCTATTTGGAGAGACTATATGAAGAATTATCCAGTATTTAATACCATAACATGGAACTCTTACATTAATGCTTATAGCATTCCATGGATAGGCCTAATTCTTAACTGATAATGTTGGTTGACAGAAAAGTCGCAAGACTCCGCGCCACTTGCCACACAAGACCCGCTGTTGGATGCAGTCTACGATCTTCCTCCCCCCACCTGTGAAGCTGTTCTTCAAACTTTCATAGTGACAAAAGAAGAGCAGCTTCTACACCCTGAGTTTTTTGATAAAAACTTCCATGGTTTAAGCCGCTACATGAAGGTATGTGAGAACCGATTTGATTTTTACAGTTGAGATAATATATTGCAATTGATAAAAAATGTTCTTGGATTCAAAAGGGTTTGGTCTCAATTATTTATGGCTTAGATTCAAGATATCAAGTTTGTAAATTTTACCATTAGGTCCCTTCTTGACCATGGGAAAAAATTTAAGGTGAGAAAGATGGCCTTTTGGACTTATAAGTTTTGTTTTTATAAATTCATATGCAAACTAGCCCAAAACTAATTACCTATATTTTGTTTTTATTTTTAGATCCGCAATCACATCAATGAGTGTTGGATGAATTCTAAACCAAAATATGTGTCAAACACTTCAGTGCTGGCTTCACCCAGTTTCTCTGAAGACGACTTAAAAGATACTATTCTAATAAAAAGAATTCATGCATATCTTGAAAGGAAGGGCTATATCAACTATGGTTGTGGTGAGTATAACTTTCTTAATATCATAGTAGAAGGAATCAAGCAAGATTATGTAGGATTTCAGATACAAAGTACCGAGCTGCAAAGTAGGCCAATGTTTTGAGAGCTCTGTTATAAAAAAATGTGGCATACTTTTCCTGGGGGGAAAGGGAGAAAAACAGAACTGTAGCCAAGATATCTCAGCCTACAATAGGTGATATGATAGGTTACGTACTTTTTTGTCCGTTATTAGTCTTTAATATAGTCAAGGGTGACTAGTTTCGGGTCAATGACCCATTTTCCAACCCACATCGAATTGTTGGTCTATGAATCGACGCAAGTTTTCGTTATAATACATAGATACATGTCAAGCTCACAAATTTAACACGAAGAACATTTAATGACGGTAGGCCGGCCACATTTAATCGAACGATACATTGACGCAGATAGCACAGCGGACACGATGGAACTCATGTATATTAAAGACTGAAGATGGAAAAAAGGTACGTAACCTATCATATCATTCATACATCATATCATTCATTCATATATCATTGAATATCTTGGTGTCAAAAATGTTTAAAATACAATAGGCGGGTGAAATTCCGGGGTCTGCGATAAGGAAAACCTCTGGACTAAAATGTGTGATTAATTTTTAAACGATACTTGATCTAAACATCGGGGGTTCTCACCAAGCAATTACTTTACATCAATGAAAGTTTTACATTTAATAATAACATTGTTGCTTACAATTGAACTTTTACCACAGAACACTCACATTATAACAACTCTGTTGGCTCCGACGTTGTTTTGGAAGACTTCAGTGATCAGGTGTGCAGTATTGTTGAAGTGGACAGCTGTTCAGTTGAGACTGACGATGTAACTGAGTACTCAGTGTCCTCGATAGAGCACGCGTCCAGCATCAACAAAGAGGAAGAACCGGCGATAGAAAAGGTTAAACATGTCGGGAACAGCAGAGTTCGCAAAAAGAAAGTGGTTGAACAAGGATGTGTAAGTAGTGTTTTGTACGATGTTAAATTAAAAAATATGTGATAGTATTTATTTAGTTTAAAGATAGCTCGAATATAATTTCACTATTTGTCTGCTTTTGATTCTTTGTTTAAGTGTACATTGATTTTTTTAAGTATTGCCATTGACTTGAGATATTGAAAGTAGATTATTCATCCATTTCAAATCTGAAGCCTGATTTGATGTGTTTTAAATCTGGTTGTGTTTCGAGTGCCCTTATGTTGACGAATGTATTTTTCATATTTGATTTTCATATTTAAATGTTTGGTCAACACTTAACTGTGCTGTTTACGGTTTACTTGTTCGTTGTAATACCATAAAAAACATTGTGTTATAATTATCAATAAATTTGGTTGTGATATTTTTTTTAATAAATTAGTAAAATAACCTATAAATAAAGTTAATACATCAACACACCTTAACATTACCGAATATAAAAATGCCTTATAACTGCCTTCAACTGGTAATTGTATCAGTGAAACATAGACTTGATTGTTATTTTGTTTCAATCCAGTATTCCTTTCCCATCTCTATGTGCATAACAAAATTTAGGTACCAAGGCCTACTTCTAACCTCTAAGATAATTTAGATTTTTTAAATGTTTTAGGAAAAAATCAGAAAAACTTCAAACCCAATAGTACAAAAGCCAGGTTCCAGAAGTAAGAACACATCTAAGAAACCTCGCAAGCAAAGTTCGAGGCTATCACCACTATGGAGACCTAATAAGACTGTTAACAACAACGTAAGTGTTTCTAGAACAGAAATTGTTTTAAGAGAGCTTTCTTACTCATTTGTTGTCTGTGTCTCGCTGGCCCATAGTTTATACGAATAAACTGTAACCAAGCCTCACTTGATTGAAGTAGAAAATAAGTTTTTAGGAACCATTTGAATCAGCTTAACAAAATATAACTCAATTTAATTTGATGAATTTGTATTCTATGTCTAACGGTACCAAAATATTAAGTGACATGGAAGACGTGTCTTCCATGTTATTTATAAAATTGGTTTTCTTGTTTATGGATATACAGTATGTTCAAACAATTTTGCAGAATCCTATATTGTTTGTTTATATTAGGCTTTCAAAATTGAACAACAAAAACACCTCTATCTAAAAACTGTGTTAATCAGGACAGTGTAAATTTAGTTTTACTATAAACTTGTTTGAATGAAAAAAACTTGATTGAGAAATGAGGAAAATAACTAAGGAAATAGAAACTTATAGAGTCTTTAGATTACCAATATATTTAACATGTGAATATTATATTAATTTGAATTCCTCAGCATTTAAGATCTTAGGGAAACCCTTTTGTGACATATCGTAAAACTGCAATTCAATTAACTAAACAACCTCTGCCTGACTGCTAGAAAACTTTTATCACCCAAGAAATCACTTCCTTATTTTCTAGTTAAATATAATTTAAAAACTTCTATGAAGTCGCCTATATATCTCTCAGGTATGGTTAAATTTGTTTGAAAGTAATTGGCTAGTTCAAATTTTTCCAATTCTCATGGACCAACACTCGTAAATGGACCTAATCAATAAAAGGCCGGAAAGTAATGTAGTTTTAGTGGTTAAAAATTTTTAAATTAAAATGCAATAGTGAATTTACTGAGGTTATGTTGTCTGTTTAGAGTGAAGGTTACACAATGATGCACGCAACAACAGGGGAAGTTATAGTGCAACATAATCAAAAACGGCAAACTAACAAAATGCTGACGAGAGGAATCAGACCCGTCAGGCTAATCCACTGCAAGAACTACGTTAGTAGAAAGGTAAAGTGGTCACCATTATTGCTTGGATTAATAAATAAGACATGAGATTTGTTTTACAACTGTGAATAGATAAAGTACACTTTTTGACATTTTTTGTCAAAATATGTAATATCCTTGTTACACAATGTAGTGTTTTCATCATTAAGTTTCCTAAGTAGGCTATCGTATTAATGAGTACAAGTCTGTATACAAATTCAGAACTTAAATTCTTGGCTGTCTGGCAAACATGTAAAGATATTGTTCAAAAGTTGTAATAAAAAAAGGAATGCCATACTGGAAATACTCTGGAGGTGAGCTATAGATTTAAGTAGCTTTCTTTCTTTAGTTACATACATTGCTTTTAAAACCTATTGCAACTTTCTGCCATTAACTCTTGGAAAGTAAATGGTCTGGATTACCCTAAAATGAGTATTTCCTTTCACACCCGTTAGTAAAATCTTCTTTGCCAAATTTCTATGAAATTTTAAAACTAGAACCAATACCTGCTTTGCCTTTGGAATCCTCCTCAACCACCAAATCCGTTGATAATCTTCCGTCACTAAGAGCTAAGAAATCTGTATAATTTCATCTCTGATAAGTTTAGATGACTTTGAACTGTTGCAGTGTATTGAAAAATATTTTCTAATGTTTCAGGCGCCTTACAAAGTGGAACTAGAAGTGACAGTGCTGTTGTTGGTAGACATTCACAGTCACTTGTCACCCAAGTGTGAGGTGATCGGACTGTTGGGAGGCTCACACAGGACGTCAGACAATGTCCTCACCATCACCATGGCTGTGCCTTGCAGAACTGTGCTCAGTAGCAACATACACTGTGACATGTGTCCAGGTTAGTAGTCACTAGAGATATCACCTTACAGTCACTTGTCACCCAAGTGTGAGGTGATCGGACTGTTGGGAGGCTCACACAGGACGTCAGACAATGTCCTCACCATCACCATGGCTGTGCCTTGCAGAACTGTGCTCAGTAGCAACATACACTGTGACATGTGTCCAGGTTTGTAGTCACTAGAGATATCACCATACTGTCACTTGTCACCCAAGTGTGAGGTGATCGGACTGTTGGGAGGCTCACACAGGACGTCAGACAATGTCCTCACCATCACCATGGCTGTGCCTTGCAGAACTGTGCTCAGTAGCAACATACACTGTGACATGTGTCCAGGTTTGTAGTCACTAGAGATATCACCATACTGTCACTTGTCACCCAAGTGTGAGGTGATCGGACTGTTGGGAGGCTCACACAGGACGTCAGACAATGTCCTCACCATCACCATGGCTGTGCCTTGCAGAACTGTGCTCAGTAGCAACATCCACTGTGACATGTGTCCAGGTTTGTAGTCACTAGAGATATCACCATACAGTCACTTGTCACCCAAGTGTGAGGTGATCGGACTGTTGGGAGGCTCACACAGGACGTCAGACAATGTCCTCACCATCACCATGGCTGTGCCTTGCAGAACTGTGCTCAGTAGCAACATCCACTGTGACATGTGTCCAGGTTTGTAGTCACTAGAGATATCACCATACTGTCACTTGTCACCCAAGTGTGAGGTGATCGGACTGTTGGGAGGCTCACACAGGACGTCAGACAATGTCCTCACCATCACCATGGCTGTGCCTTGCAGAACTGTGCTCAGTAGCAACATCCACTGTGACATGTGTCCAGGTTTGTAGTCACTAGAGATATCACCATACTGTCACTTGTCACCCAAGTGTGAGGTGATCGGACTGTTGGGAGGCTCACACAGGACGTCAGACAATGTCCTCACCATCACCATGGCTGTGCCTTGCAGAACTGTGCTCAGTAGCAACATACACTGTGACATGTGTCCAGGTTTGTAGTCACTAGAGATATCACCATACTGTCACTTGTCACCCAAGTGTGAGGTGATCGGACTGTTGGGAGGCTCACACAGGACGTCAGACAATGTCCTCACCATCACCATGGCTGTGCCTTGCAGAACTGTGCTCAGTAGCAACATACACTGTGACATGTGTCCAGGTTTGTAGTCACTAGAGATATCACCATACTGTCACTTGTCACCCAAGTGTGAGGTGATCGGACTGTTGGGAGGCTCACACAGGACGTCAGACAATGTCCTCACCATCACCATGGCTGTGCCTTGCAGAACTGTGCTCAGTAGCAACATACACTGTGACATGTGTCCAGGTTTGTAGTCACTAGAGATATCACCATACTGTCACTTGTCACCCAAATGTGAGGTGATCGGACTGTTGGGAGGCTCACACAGGACGTCAGACAATGTCCTCACCATCACCATGGCTGTGCCTTGCAGAACTGTGCTCAGTAGCAACATACACTGTGACATGTGTCCAGGTTTGTAGTCACTAGAGATATCACCATACTGTCACTTGTCACCCAAGTGTGAGGTGATCGGACTGTTGGGAGGCTCACACAGGACGTCAGACAATGTCCTCACCATCACCATGGCTGTGCCTTGCAGAACTGTGCTCAGTAGCAACATACACTGTGACATGTGTCCAGGTTTGTAGTCACTAGAGATATCACCATACTGTCACTTGTCACCCAAGTGTGAGGTGATCGGACTGTTGGGAGGCTCACACAGGACGTCAGACAATGTCCTCACCATCACCATGGCTGTGCCTTGCAGAACTGTGCTCAGTAGCAACATACACTGTGACATGTGTCCAGGTTTGTAGTCACTAGAGATATCACCATACTGTCACTTGTCACCCAAGTGTGAGGTGATCGGACTGTTGGGAGGCTCACACAGGACGTCAGACAATGTCCTCACCATCACCATGGCTGTGCCTTGCAGAACTGTGCTCAGTAGCAACATACACTGTGACATGTGTCCAGGTTTGTAGTCACTAGAGATATCACCATACTGTCACTTGTCACCCAAGTGTGAGGTGATCGGACTTTTGGGAGGCTCACACAGGACGTCAGACAATGTCCTCACCATCACCATGGCTGTGCCTTGCAGAACTGTGCTCAGTAGCAACATACACTGTGACATGTGTCCAGGTTTGTAGTCACTAGAGATATCACCATACTGTCACTTGTCACCCAAGTGTGAGGTGATCGGACTGTTGGGAGGCTCACACAGGACGTCAGAATCAAGAATCAAGAATCAAGAATTTATTACAACAAATTACAAAAAAACATTTTGTATAGTTGAGGTCAATATGAAATGTCCAGTGGTTAGCATTAGGGCCTATAACATTCAATAACTAGGCTACTTTAAATAATTTAAACAACAAAGTAAGTTACACAGATTTAAGGCCTAGCCTACATCAGTCAGAAATTAAAAACTAATATCAATGTCAGACATGAAAAATTCACTTAAACTATAAAAAGGGTGATTTAATAACCAGCAAAAAAGTTTACTTTTAAATAACTTAAGATCAACACAGTGTGCCTCAGCTGGCAAACGATTAAACATCTTTAACCCTATATAAGAAAAAGATTCTTGTGACTTTGTTAGCCTGACTAAAGGTAACTCTAAATTATTCCTATGTCTAGTAAAATAACTATGTGAATGTGATCTCAAGGCTACAGCATTAATGTTAACTTTTACATAAACAAGACACACATAAATAAATAAATTAAAAACAGTGAGTATTTTTTCCTGAATAAACAAGGGTTTGCAATGGGCTCTGTACTTAGAAAAAGTAATGATTCTTAAAGCCTTCTTTTGTAGGAGCAAGATTCTGCTAACATCATGACCACAGCCCCACAGCAAAATACCGTAGCTTAAAATACTATTAAAGAAGGCAAAGTAGGCCATCCGTAGGTAGTTTCTAGGGATTAATTTTTTAAGCTTGCGGAGTAAGTAAATAACTCTTGAGAGCCTACTACAAACATGGTCAATGTGCACACTCCAGCCTAATTTAGAATCCAGGTATATACCCAATAATTTAACATTATCACAGAGTTGAGGAAAGTTTAAATCATGGTTACTTAAACTAAATAAAATAGATTGAGTCTTACTATTATTCAATAGAAAACCGCTACTTTTGAACCAATCGTTACATTCAATGAGACAGTTGGACATATAAACATTAAGATTATCTAAACTGTGATTAGGTCTACTGCAGAAAAAAGTTGAATCATCAGCAAAAATTATAGAATTACAATTTACATTAACAGGCAAGTCATTAATTACAACTAAGAATAGAAATGGGCCAAGGACCGATCCCTGGGGCACGCCACTCTTCACTACCGACACCTCAGAGAGCTTATTGTTATACAAGACTTTCTGTGTGCGGTTGGCCAAATAGGTCCGAAAAAAGTTTAGCTCAACACCTCTTATGCCGTATTGTTCAAGTTTTGTGAGAAGGATGTCGTGTGGAACACAGTCAAAAGCCTTTGAAAGGTCACACATGGTGGTGAGTGTGCTTTCATGCTTTTCAAAACCATTTAAAGCAGCAACAACAAGGCTACCAACTGCGTCCACAGTTGACAGTCCCCCTCGAAAGCCGAATTGGGATTTAGAAAACAAATTATTGGATTCAAAAAATTTAGTTACCTGGTGTATCACAGCCTTTTCCAAAATTTTTGAGAAGATTGGTACAACGGAGATCGGTCGATAGCTTTCAGGACATAAAAAATCACCTTTTTTGAAAATAGGCACAACTTTAGATAATTTAAGGGATTCTGGAAAATTACCAGACATTAAACAAATATTTATACACAGGGTAAGTGGGGATAATATCACAGATAGCACTTCCTTGATGAGAACACTGCTGATATCAAAGATATCACGGCTTTTACTATTTCTTAAGCCAATCACAATATTTGCTACTTCCTCACTAGACACTGGCTTCAGAGTGAAATCTGGTACGTTGATGGGCACCTTCATCATATTTTTAGCAGCAGCAATGGAAGGCGGCACTTGGTTGCGGACATCATCAACCGAAGAGACGAAGAAGTCACTGAAGATCTGCGAAGTCAGTGAGTCAGCCGATGGAGTAGTTTTCCCCGTGGATGAATTATTAATTAACTCCCATGCACGTTTGCATTGGTTGGGCGCATAGGATATATTGTCAGCATTAGACTTGAGTTTTGCCTGGTTAAGAGCTCTCCGATAACTTGCTTTTGCTTCGACATATCTCTGTTTAGCAGTGACAACTAAAACATTATACCTTTCTGCCCACTGCCAAAAATCGTAAAGCTTTCCAACTTCTCTTCGCTGTTGGGTTAGTTCATGACTGTACCATTTCATTTTAGTTTTATTCTTACTGTTTATAGGCTTAACAGTCTTAAAGGGGAAGCATTCCTTCATAGCATCCAGAAAAGTAGAGAGAAACTTGCAAAAGATATCGTCCTTATGATTAGATAACACTTCATCCCAGTTTACGTTTAACAGAACCAACTTGAAAGATTCTATTTTAGGTCTACTGAAGTCCCTGATCAGCTTAGGAGTAGGTTTTACATGGTCGATATTTTTAGCCAGACAGATCGATGTTAACAGAGCATTGTGGTCAGACAAGGGTGGTGAGAGAACTGAAGTGTTTGCATCTTCTTCAGGTAAGTCTGTAACCACATTATCAATGCAAGCACCTCCACGGGTAGGCTTAAAGTTTAAACAACGACAGTTAGAAGAACGCAGGACATCAAGAAAGTTTACAGTAAGGCTATCCTTAGAGTGAACGTCAATATTAAAATCGCCACAAGCTATAATTGGTAGGCCAGCTTGTGATAAATATATCATTAGCCTATCAAATCCATCCAGGAAAACATTGTGGTTACTATTGGGGACCCTATACAATGATGCTAGGATTAATTCCACAGTAGGCTGCTGCATACTAACCTTCACACATACAACTTCAAAGTCACTCTCAATACAGTAACTGCTCACATCAATTTCTTGGTAAATTAGGCCGCACTTTGTGTATATAGCAACACCACCTCTGGTCTTATCAGTTCGGCAAAACATCGATGCACAATTGTAGCCCTCGATAACTGCTAAGTCTCTGTTGGACTCAGTAAACCAATGCTCACACACACAGAGGATGCCTACGTCATTAAGGTTCATTAATACCTCTACTTCGTTAATTTTATTGGCTAAGGACTGAGCATTAACAGAGAGAATATTCAGCACTTTATTGGACTCCAAAACACTTACCCTGTGGATAACTGGGTCTGTATGTTCGAGTTTAAATTACCGGTACTTGCCCTGGAAGATTTGATTGCTCTGGTAATGAACTTTGATACATAAATATCCCTGGGCCAGAAATCTGAGGTGTAAGCCTCGTTTAACAGGCTTGCCGGAATTCCAACTTTAAAAGAAGAGTAATCTTCGGGATGTCTGGACGTTAACTGCTCCACAACATATTCGGCTTCTTTTCTGCTGATAAGATAATCCTTCACATCAGTTTCCTTAGTGTTAGGTCCAAAACGAGAGACAAACAGAAAAACCTTTCTGCCCGCAGTTGTGAGGTTATGTGACACAGTCGAGCTACCTGACAATGTCCTCACCATCACCATGGCTGTGCCTTGCAGAACTGTGCTCAGTAGCAACATACACTGTGACATGTGTCCAGGTTAGTAGTCACTAGAGATATCACCATACTGTCACTTGTCACCCAAGTGTGAGGTGATCGGACTGTTGGGAGGCTCACACAGGACGTCAGACAATGTCCTCACCATCACCATGGCTGTGCCTTGCAGAACTGTGCTCAGTAGCAACATCCACTGTGACATGTGTCCAGGTTTGTAGTCTAGAGATATCACCATACTGTACCTTGTCACCCAAGTGTGAGGTGATTGGACTGTTGGGAACCGAAAACAGCTTCCTCGGTTACAGCAAAATCGTTTAAATCACCTACGATCTTGGTGTGATTGTCAGTTTTTCAATCCGCATATCTTGCGGTTGCTTTCTTGGATTGGGAAAATAAAGGCTCAAGTGATTGACTCAACTCTACTCAGAGCGTAGCCTTAACCGCCTCCTCAGGCTATACCTTGTTCCCCATATTATCCCTACCCTTATTAGCTTACTAATGTTTATTTTATTCTGTTATGCCTGGCTCTAAGTTCAAATCTTACCAATATAGATTGAATTTGATAAATCAAGGTTCCTGTAGTGTGAATGTTCATTCAACTAGTCTGTTTGCGTTTCAGTGTCGCAGTGCGAAAGCAGTGAGATGATCACCAGTCAAGGCATGTCTGTGGTTGGTTGGTACCATTCTCATCCCAACTTTGACCCGTCCCCGTCCGACACCGATGTCGACACTCAGAACACGCTGCAGTCGTGGTTCAAGGACAGCGGTCAGCCCTTTGTAGGCCTCATCATCTCACCGTACTTCCCCTCCCATGATGTCTCTTTCTACAGGTTGGTGGAACGAGTAGTAGTGCAGTGAACTGGGAAATGTAGGCAGCGGTGTTGTGGGCTCGCCAGTTAAAATTTAATAGGATACAATCTTGTAGGTCTACTGTACCAGCACACCCCTTACTTGGCCTAATGTGTTCACCACACTGGCCTGCCTGAGGTCCATGTGAATGAGCAAATTCTAGGTTAAAAGAGGCTGCCAAACTTAAAATGAAGAGAAAGAAGTTATGGAGGGTAGGGACGCCTATCCTGCATGTGTAAGAAATTTTTGCTCTATCTAGTTTTCTCACATATAGCTTTCTTTACTACCAAGCTACCACAATTGTTCAACCTAATCACAATCAAAGGAGTTGTAATAGGCTTAGTAGAAACATGTTTATGAACAATAACGAATCTCAGAAAATCTCAATGTTGTTTCTTAGGGGAGGTTCACAAACTCCAATGGTATTAATTTAAATAAGCAGAGAGTATCACAAACTCTAAAATTCACCTGCTCCAAAGTACAGTCCGTGCCAGAAGTTGCTGCAGGGGTTACCACAGTCAGATTACAAGCACCGCACATTCTTGCGTTGTTAGCATAGACAAAAAGAATATAGACCGTCAGCTGTGCTGCGGTTACTATAGGTTCTGGTGCACACCGCTTGGAGCACCACCGTAGTTACGGCGTACGCGCTATGTAAACTGCAGCGGTGTGCGCCGGAACCATGGTTGTATGGTAACCATGGCAACCGCAGCACGGCTGACAGTCTATATTTCATTCTTTTTGTCTATGGTTGTTAGCCACACGCCACGAAACAACATTGTGGGCTTGAGTATTGATAACCTAGTCTAACCACAGTGGATGGTGCCTGCAATCTGACTGTGGCAACCCCTGCAGCTTCTGGCCCAGACTGTACTTTTGGAATTGGTCAAATGCTCCCATTTCTTATTCTTAATGTATTCACAGGTGTTGCCTAGTAGAAACAGAGGGCAAGGGACCTGTGCCTTATCAGCTGGAAGTGAAGCTTATCAATTTATACAGCAACAACGGAATGCCTTTGAAACACATACAGCCTATTGAGACAGCGTTCAAGACTTTGCAGACATTCGAGCCCATCCGACAGCTCAATGTGTACAAGGTGGGTCGAATACAGATAGCCTCCTTGTTGTTCCTATTATTATTGTCACCAGCATTATCAGGTTGTTGTGTAGGCTACTTAATAGTGATTAAGCTGCGGTCACACTTTTCATTTTATGCTGAATATCAACAACAATATTAACAATATCTTAGAGGTTAACTGTAAGAAAGGACCATGAGGTCCTAAGTTCGGCTCAATATAGAAGCATTTTTATTTCATTTAAATATCCAGATAAATTTTAAGAAGCCTGTGTACAGCTGTATTAAAAAAATGCCCACCATTTTTCATTTTTTCTTGGAATTATTATTTTACTAGCAGAGTACCCGTCCTTCGTACGGGGTTGGGATACAAGTTTAAAAGCATATTGCAGTTATACTCAAGCTTTGCGTTTGCATTGAGGAAGGACACAGTTTGATAAAATTTGCTTCTTTAAATTTACAGTATTTTATAGTATTACACATCTACAATAGCCATAATGTTCTACAACTTCACCTAAACAATAGAGAAAAATAAATTATCAAAAATCCGCACAATATCACAAATTATTCATTAAATAAAAAAAAAACATAAATATAACTGTAAACAATCCTACTTTGACAGTTAGTTCTCATTGTGTATCACAGTTTTTTGTTGCTGCCAAATTAGCTGTTTTTATTAATGCAAAAAATATAGTGCTGCACCCTGTTGGTAAATCTTATAACTTTTTTATGCTTTTTCATATCATAGAACCAACTTTTTAAGAACCAACAGCCGACTAAATTCTTTAATTCCCTTTAAATATGAATACTCATAAGGTTAACATGGGGAACTACAGAGCCACTGGGGCGGAGCTCGAAAGGATTTTTGAGATAAGAATTTGACCTATATGTTTATCGGTAATGTGAGCTATCATCATGCCAAATTTCAGCCAAATCCGTCTAGTAGTTAATGCGTTATTGAACTTCAAACAAACAAACTTTCACATTTATAATATTAGTAAGAAGTAAGATTTTTACAAGTAGCCTTCCTTAGTTTTACTTTCAAAGAGAGAGGAAGTGATGGTGAGAAGTGGTGGTTAGTTTTGAGTGGATATATCCGTTTTGGGTCCCCCTGAACCCAAAAAAGTGGTTTTCGAAGTGATGTCTGTCCGTGTGTTTGTATGTGTGTGTCTGTCTGTATGTGTGGATGTGTAAGGGGCTACAGACCACACCTGTGGTTCGATTTTTATGAAATTTGGTATGTATGTTGGTATGGGGTACCATGGTATCCCCAGGTTTTTGTCCATTTTTTTGAAATTTTAATTTTTAACAGTGATTTTCCCATAAAATAACGGATAAATCGGATTTTTCTAAAGAAATTGCCCAAACGATATTGGTAAAAATTTAGTATGTTTAATTCCTTAAATTTTCCTTTAAATTCTAAACAAAATGGTACAACTTCCATTCCTGTAGAATTTTATGGTTCAAAAGTTATTGTAACTTATGTCATTTTCCTGTAAAAACCCCCATTAAAAAAAAAAAATTGATTTAAAAAACTCGACTCTGATTAAAATTTGACTGTTATGGTCCTTTAATATCTTAACAAAATAGTGCAACACCCATTGCTGTAAAAATTGCGGTTCAAAAGCTTTTGCAACTTTTGTAATTTGTTCTATAGTACAGGTAAAATAATACAAAAACACTCCGTATAAACAACAAAATTTGTACAATCATGAAATTTCACCTGTGAGTTACTAATAATATGTGAAATGAAGATCCGATGAGTCCCCAAAATTTTGGGCGTCCTAAGGCCCTTTTTGGGGCCCTTTTTGTTCCGAAGGGCCCTTGTTACTGAATAATTTTGTTTTTACGTTTAAGGACGAGTAAGGTGTGGTTTCGATGGTTTTAGTTATTTTAAATCGATTGGGACTAGTTTTAAGTGTATTAAACCACTCCATACAGGGTGTTTCGAAATATTATTACTTTTTACGATATTTAAACATTTATTCATAAAGTGATAAAATTAGTTACCTCCATGCTCTATATAAAAGGGGATTATTGAAAATAATTGTAATTCTTTACTACCTAAGGGGATAAGATCACAAGGAGTAAGAGAAAATATTAAATACCCCCGTCACAGCAAACCTGCAGACCTAGCGAACTTCCGTTTTACTTACTTGATTTTCAATTAAATCTAAAATAGCATTGCGTTTAACGATTACCTAGGTTTGCTGCTACAAGGAGGCTAATAAAGTGTGTTTATAGTAAAATATTAATAGCCTAGTATAATAAAACAAATAAATTTGACAAGTTTTACCAAGACATATCTATTAACAAACAAACAAAATCATTTTACACTATTCTCCTTAAGAATAACATGGAATTTTAAATTTACAATTTTTGAACTTTATTCGTAATTAATACACTTACAAAACACGTTAATATACTTAATTATTTATTTTCTTTAAGCTCTTTAAAATGCTCTAGAGAAAAATTGGGAAACTTTGTCTTTTGAGGGTCAAAGATTACAAATTTTTATCACATAAAACCCTGTTCCATGGGCCGATTATGCCGGTTTCGTTAAAATTGAACCAAAATTACTAGAGTTATCATGTTTACGGACACGTATATAACATGGATATATTATAAACACATATATAATATTTTGAGTGGATGGTGCTTTAGGCTTCTGGGGGCATCGAAATGAAAACGTAAATCGGTTTCGGGTCTATGTTTTACCATAAGACCTTTGGTAATAGCTTATCTCCTATATGGGATGTTCGCTAAAAGGGGAGGGATTAAGTTTTACACTATAACATAATAACATAGGTTACTAAGCAAAAATATCAACTTTTAAGGTGGTGTGAACAATCTTTCAACGGGTTTTTTATGCAAATCTATTAAGACCAATTTCAAATTGATATGTATTTTTCTTAGGTAGCTATTTAAGTTATTTTTTTTACATTTATTAAAAATTAAAACAATTGTATTTGTATAAAACCTTACATTACATATTAAAATGAAGTACTTAAACTAAAGCTATTTTTCTACAATTTCCGTAGTATCTCTCTTTACAATTCCATCATCACAATAATTATTCTCAGACGACTCATTAACAATTTTATTATTCTTAGCAACTTGTCCATATTTACTGATTTTGTCCAAGTTGGTGTTCAAGCAGGATTCCCCTTTACAAACCTAAAACCTTGCATATTGCAGAACAGGCAACACCAATCTTAAAGCACGAACAATGTGGTGCAAAAACACCTTTCATACATACTGACGTTTGCAACTTGTATCTTAAGTTCCTCAAACTTATTTTCAATCAATACAAGTACGGCTATCTTTCGTGGTTATGACGACCAGGACAGCACCAAGACATCAGAGCAGCATTGTCGGTACAAGCATTTTTGTCCTGAACAATGGGAACGAGGTTTACGGGGTAAAAATTGGGTTTTCTTATTTACTTTACCCTCAAAACACAAAGTTTCCCAATTTTTCTCTAGAACATTTTAAATAGCTTAAAAACAAATAATTTAGTATATTAACGTGTTTTTGTATGGTTATTAGTTACGGATAAAAATACTAAAATTGTAAATTTAAAATTCCATGTTATTCTTAAGGAGAATAGTGTAAAATGATTTTGTTTGTTTGTTAATAGATATGTCTTAGTAAAACTTGTCAAATTTATTTGTTTTATTATACTAGGCTATTAATATTTTACTATAAACACACTTTATTAGCCTCCTTGTAGCAGCAAACCTAGGTAATCGTTAAACGCAATGCTATTTTAGATTTAATTGAAAATCAAGTAAGTAAAACGGAAATTCGCTAGGTCTGCAGGTTTGCTGTGACGGGGGTATTTAATATTTTCTCTTACTCCTTGTGATCCTTTCCCCTTAGGTAGTAAAGAATTACAATTATTTTCAATAATCCCATTTTATATAGGTAACTAATTTTATTACTTTATGAATAAATGTTTAAATATCGTAAAAAGTAATAATATTTCGAAACACCCTGTATGGAGTGGTTTAATACACTTAAAACTAGTCCCAACCGATTTAAAATAACTAAAACCATCGAAAACCACACCTTACTCGTCCTTAAACGTAAAAACAAAATTATTCAGGAACAACCCCTATAAAAAAGTAATTTCTGGCCATATATGGCCATATCAAAATTCCATATATGGTTTCATAAAGCCATATATGGTTTTTTATGGACATATATGGAAGCAGATATGGCCAGATGCGGTTGTATCCATATATGGTGGTGTCCATATATGGTCATATATGTAGTCTATATATGGAATTATTGGCCATATATGGCCATACATGTTTTCTATATATGAAATGATTGTCCATATATGGCCATACATGTTTTCTATATATGAAATTATTGCCCATATATGGCCATAAATATCCTCCATATATGGAATCATGGTCTTTATATGGCCATATATGACTCCCAGGTATGGAATTAAATTACTCATATACGGAATAATAATTTTCCATTTATGCTCATGTATAAATGAGTTTTTGACAATAACTGGAATTATTATAAGGAATAGTTGCCACATTTGGATTTTGTAACTGGACTCCCAAACACTTCTTATAATATATATAATACTATAAATCTTAAAGTTTGTGAGTTTGTGTATTTTCTTGTTGCTCTCGGAAGCACAAACTACTGAACTGATTGAGTTGAAATGTGGTACAGTGGGGGGCAGATAATATAGGCATTTCTCATTTAAAGTAATTAGTAGTAAAGTAATAAAGTATCCAGATTTGAACCCAGATGACAAAATCCTGTACATACATCTATTGTACAATTTTATTATAACGCAACAAAATCTTAAAACTGACGTATAATTTTAAAATTCTAAGTGTAGTAGGCCTAAATAAAGAGAATATTATATTAATAATTAATTTATTGTACCTTTGCTATCAAACAGCTGCAAATATCTATGTCACGTAGTTAGGCTATATTAATAATAAAATTCTTCAAATGACATAAAATGTCCAAGAAAATCTTGTTTTACGAGACCAAATACAGCTTCTCTTATTCGTAATGGGTTTTGTAAAGACGGTTGTGGTGTAGTGGTCAAAGGGGTAGACTCCCACGCTGGAGTCCCGGGTTCGAATCCCAGTCGGCTACTTGAAAATTTTGTTTTGAAATTTTCAAATTAAAAATTTGTATTATGGTTTTAATGCATAGTTTATAAGATTTAATGTGAAAATATGTTTAATTGTAATTTTTTTATTTATTTATATATTTTTTATTAAAAAATTTCCATATATGGGGGATTCCATATATGATCATATCTGGTTATATTTGGTCCAAAACCAAATATAACCAGATAAAAAAAATTTTATATGGCCATATATAAACTTTTTCATAAGGGAAGGGCCCTTCGGAACAAAAAGGGCCCAAAAAGGGCCTTAGGACGCCCAAAATTTTAGGGACTCATCGGATCTTCATTTCTCATATTATTAGTAACTCACAGGTGAAATTTCATGAATGTACAAATTTTGTTGTTTATAAAACCCTATTTTACCTGTACTACTATAAAATATCTTAGTTACTCCCATCACCTCAAAGTTTGTTGGTAAGCAATTGGGAAAAGTAAGTGTTAGATTGCTGACACTGTTCAATATAACAAAGAATAGTCTTTCTAACCTCAATGTTTTTACTGTTTCAGTGCTTGGAAAGTGCAAAGCATCACCTAAGAAAAGCCGCCCCCAAAGTGGAGGAGGAAAAAGTCTCTCAGATTGTGAAAGAAATCAGAGACTGTATAAAGGAAGGATTTCTGTCATTAGTGAAGAAAAAATGACAGGGGAAAGAGAAATTGAATATCTTCCATTTGTACATTTTGTACATGACACTTACTTTTGACTCACAATGGGTTACCTGTAGTATTTGTATGATACTAATTACGACAGAGGTACAATATTTTCAGCTTTAAATGGTAGACAAAGTGAATAGTGACTATAGTCACATATACAACTCAGTGAATTTGTTATTTCATAAAGGATTACTTATTTATTTAGTTGATTTATTTGTTTAGGATACAAAGCTGATTTATTCAAGTCAAAATCAGGCTAAACATTCAAGACAACACATAAACATTCTAAACATTCTAAATCTACAAGATGAGGATAATATTTATATATAGCTAGTCCAGCATCTGTCTAAGGGGTTATTTTGACACTAAATAAGCCTTCTGGGCACGTTCATTAGAGTTCAACAGCCAATGTTTACCTGTTTTCTAAAATAGCCCTTTGGACTCGCAATGTTTAGTAAGATATGTACTGATTGAACAGCTATTTTTCGGACGGTGTTCACTAATCAGCACAGCTGATGTTCATAGGTTCAAATAATTAATTTGAAAAACAGCGAAGAATTTGTTTAAAAATATTTCTTTAAACACACAATGTAAAGCAGTGCCATCTAAATGTAAAGTATTAATTTATCATGATTTATGATCTATATTAGCTTTTAACTATCAAATATGTGTATCTGAATTTATATTTTTTTTATACGAGACTATTATTTTGTAGACCAAAAATTAATAGACTTAAAATATTGTTGCTACATTTTATCTTTTGTTGATCACTAGAGCATCACAAAAACTTAAAACTATTGTTGGTTATGTATAGTTAAAATTACAAGTATTTTTTATTTTTTGTTTTAGTATTAACCATACTTTCTACTGATATGTATGTCCATACTCTTATACAATAAGGGTTTTTTCTGTTAAATCCATTTTTTAATGGTCCTACTTAACCGATTTCTACGATTAAGGTGTCATTTTAAAGCTTATGATCCAGTGGGCCTGCGATTAGTAACGAAAAAAGTAATTTAGTTAAGGTCTTCGTCCCCTTGTGTTTAAATTATTTCTAGAGTTCAGTTTCAAAGATCTAGAGTTGCTGAATAACAAATTTACTGAAAATTAGTACTACCGTACTGTTCACTTAATAAATGGTTTAAACAAACATAATCTTGAAAAGGTAAATGGGTGTTGCACTGGATTTATTTTGCCTCGGAAACAAGTTTTGAACAATATTAAACTGCACAATTTGCTGCAAATATATAAATTGAAAAGTATTTTTTTTTAGTTTCTTGGGAAATCAAAACAAAAAAATATTTTATCTCGGTCCTCTAAATGGGAAATTTGCTGTAATAAAAAAATCCTCAAACAAACTATGTCCTTCCATGGAGATTAGTTTTGAATATATCCAAGCCCTAAGTACAGCCTTCCCATAAAACAGTTTTAGTGCAACTATCAACCAATAGAAAGTCACGAATGTACCACTCAGATTTTTCTCTGTATTACCTGTTATAAAGTTCCTCAAGACTGTATTCTAAAATGTAAAATTAGTGTATATTCTACAGTAAGTGCAATTTGTTAGTTTTTAAAGCATTATTTCAAATAATTTAGTATATGTTTTAAATATGTTATTGTAAAATGTAAATTATAACCATGGTTCATGACTATGAATTTATAAACTGCTAGAATTACACATTGGTGGGATATGTTTTATTTTCACTCTTGGTAAACATGCCATGAGATGGTTTACTACCCATCTCTTTAAACAAATCTATCGTATTAATCACCATGCCCATGAACTTTTCAGCCGCTGCTAATTGCGATGTTCTGTAATATACATTTGATTGTAAGGTTGCACACAAGCCTAGCTTCTTTGCCAAAAAGGAAGAGCAGTTTGTTAATGATTTTGAATATCACAAGTACACTACTCAAACTCTTGTATATCTAATGTGTGTGATGTTGATTGTGCCAGTGTTGACTAAACTTCTATTATTTTACAGTAGATTTAATCATTTGCACTTGACTCTTTAGACTTTGGTTATAAAATAAAGGAACAAGCAATGATTCAAAAATGCATCATATGTTGGTGAAAATTCAGTTAAATAGGCCTACTTTAAAAATTGGTCAAGTAACGAAAAACAGTAAACATCACACCCTTTTGTGAACCTGACAAAACTAACATCAAAATTGTCTTTAGCTGATAAGAATGGTGAATCTACAAGTGTGTTAAGTTTATGGTTCTATCTTCATTTGGTTTTATTAATTTTTATCATTCATTTTCTTACATTAAGGAAAGAAGGAATAGATACACTACTAACCTACATTTCCTTTTTCTCTTGCTTTTTTTTTTTTGTGTGTGCTTTCAACTACATAGAACATTTTTTAGTTAAGTTAGTTGTTCATCCATCTTTCTTCCTTACTGTACTCCTCAGTCAATTGTACTGTAAGCGTATGACTTGTTTGCGAGCCGGGTGCGCGGGGGGAGAGCGGTACCAATCTCCCACCACGCAGCCAAAGTTTCCGTAGCATTGGTCGGACTGCACTTTCTAAAAACATTCGACCAGTGCTGTTCGCATTGTTTTCCTTTTTTGTACATTTTTTTATAATTTAATTTTTAATTTAATTCAAGTGCCATACAATGGAATTACTAAGGGTTCTATATTATTGTGTTGGTAGGCTACTGTAGTAGAGTATTTATTTTGATATAACTATTTTTTTTACTTATTTAAATGTACACCAAACGGTAAAATCATATTAGGCCTATATTCCAATTTATTTGTAACGTTTGACTTTTTATGTGTAAATTATTAACTTTTATAGTTAGAGTTTATTGGCGATATCTTAAGATATAGTATTTTATGTAAAAACACATACAGATATACCTATAAACAGAAGGCTTAGTACATATCATTATGGAAACTTTTGCTTATTTTCATATTATGTACGACAAATAACACCTTAAAATATCAGACGGGTTTTCCAAACACCCTTTAAAACGGTTAATGGCTTGCAGTTATTTATTTTATATCCCTAAGTTAATAAAACGACAGTCGGTCTCTTAATGTCGTACGTAAAGTATTTTATGACCGGAAGAGTATTGTATTCTATCGTGTTCTATCAACTGTCAGTTTATTGGACTGTGCTGTTTAGATGAGTAGAGCGGTTGAGTTATTATTGAGTGATTGTTAAGCCGTGGGTTAAAAAAGTGTCAGGCTAGGCTAACATAGATTAATATCATGGCAACCGCCCGTAAAAAAGGGCAAACCATTCACAGAGTAGCGATGGAAATATTATAAGACCAACAGGTGCCGTGTGTTGGTGTTACGCATACGCTGGGAGTAGAAGTAGTGGTGGGGGCCCCTTCTGGCCGTGAAGGCGGTGGAGGGGCCACGCGCAAACAAGTCGTGCACTTACAGTACCTGTACCTCTAGTTTTTTTCCGTTTCCTCCAAAAAAAACTAATCTAAATACTGTAAAGTAGATGTTCCAGTACCATGTTACAAGCTGTAACCAGTTTTATATTTAAAAAACATACAATTGGACTACATCTGAATGTGTTTACAAGAAAAAAGTTTATTCTTTTATGCAAGCTTGTTTGCAATTGTTTTAAACTTTAACATATTTTATTTCCCATAACTATTACCAGGCACGACCCACCTGCTTCCATCTAACATCTTCTAAAATCATTGTATCTCCCAATAAATGTTCTTAGTTTCTACCGAAACTGTGTTGTAATCATTTTTTTTTGTTTTGTTTATAATAATGTTGTATTAAAATGTACCATACAAATGCTTTAAAAATGTATTTTTAGTAAAGAGTATATAAGTTATTATTTAAGAGAATGGATAGATTTTATCATCATATTATTTTTTATTTGTTTGATGTTTATTTACAACAATAGGCCTACTTTATAGATTATTGTAAAAATTAATGTATTTTTTTTAATACAAATTTATACAGTTTTACCATACGTTTGTGTGTGTTTTATAGTCATATAAATACTTTTTATGAACTCGTGGTTTTAATACAAACCTTTTTTCTCCTGTATGTAATAATAATTTAACCCCATTGGCCTATAAAAAACAAAACACTAGGAAGTATCTATATAATTAATACGCTACATGAAACTTTGTCGGTTGAACTCCTCCGCCATTTCTTAACCGATTGTATCCATTGACGTCTCATTGGAATGAGCGTGTCGCATAGATTTGCAAACTGGCCTTACATTTTTGAAAAAGTCCCTTGGGCTCTGCCCCAGTGGCTTTGAAAGTTCCCATGTTATCCTTATGAAGAACATAATTGTTTACATTTTGATCAGCTGTATAATTTGATTGCTGTTATTATTTTTCAATTCAACGAAATAATGCATTGGGTAAATTTATTGATTTTGTTGAAAAAACATACTCCCTTAGTAGATTGCTCATCCTAATGGAACAGCTGAAGACAATTTTATTGTTAGTTCTGTACGGTTTATGTAGAGGTCGTGTTTTGTTTACAATTTGTTTCCCGTTAATACAGTCATTTAAATCCTCGTTTAACCAAATAATACGATCTAATCATAAACAATATATTGTCCCCTAGTTATTTAACCAAACAGTAAAGCACAAATCAAGAAATTAACCCTAAAATAATATAAACAAAATTTCGTCGACACTAGCGCCCAGTGTGGCGTACATGAACTAGACATGAAAAACGAGCTTCAAAATTTGCAATGGGATGAGAAGTCTACTTGTGTTGGTTAGTCTATGATATTACAATGTAAAAGATCGAGAAAGCCTGGGCAATTTGATATATTTTACCAAATAAGAAAAATGAATTGACAGGGTACTGTATTTCTTGAGCAATCATTGAAAGAACCGATTTTTTAACCATGGAAAATAGGCAAGTCATAGAACGCCACCAAGTAGAGAGATTAAAAAAACCATTTACTATCGTTATAATCCTATATAATAAAGAACACCTACAATATGAAGATTCCTACAAACAATGAACAAGGATGTTAGCCGAAGTGTTACTATTTTGTAGGAAAAACGGACTTAACTTTATGATGATTGGCAAAGGAAAACACTTTAAGGCTAAATTAATCTGGTACGGCAAGGACATCAAAAGTCAAGTGATTTTAAAATAATATCACTACATCCAAGAAACATTAATAAAACTTTCACTGAAGGATTTGTATTATTCACATTTAAGGGAAACAAAAAACCATCTGAACAACATTAGGCCTTTCAATTCTGAGTTTTTTTTTAGGTAAATATAACGTACGTTATAAACTAGCCAAATCAATGCCATTTGAAGCAAATAAAATTGTGATATAGAGGTAATGCAGAAAATCAGGCAGTTCTTAAATAATGTAAACAAAATGTTATCGCTATAAATTACTGAAATTTGTAAACGTACTGGTGAAAACGGGTAGTACTATGCAGACTACATTATCATTGACGAAGATCAACATGAACAACCTAATGCGGCTATACGTGGGAAAGAATACACTAAAAAACCAGATCAACTTTTGAAAAATTGTAAAATATTTACAAGAAATGTTGATTATATGGAACTGTTAGGTATGTAATCTATGAGTTGAGTCTTTTAAACTCATCGTAAATTATGACTTTTATTCGTTTTTAAATAAGTTATTTGTTTTTAAATACTATAACTACTTTATTCTTTGCAATTGCTCGATTTCGAGCAACATGTACACTAGTTTACCACTAATACCATTACCGAAACCCTACCCAGGCTGACGCCAACCTAAACCCCAGGTCTGTGAGACCCCATTTGAAAATAATGGACTACGTTTAGAAACACACAAACCAGAACCCTTGGCTTGTGAGACCCCGCTTTAAAAAACCACTAATGCTGGGCTTCTGAGACGGGCACATTATGAACAGACAACCTGTCAAGATCGCGGCACCCAAGGTAAATAAACAAACAATATATCAATAGGTAGGGGAGGAAAAGGGGGGAAGGTATTGAGGGAATGGAATCTCCCAAGTAAAAAGTGTTGCCAACATGCGTTTGTGAAAATTCCCATGGGCTTGCCAGACCGGGGTTTCGGTTAAAGTGTTAAAATGGGACTTTTTCCTTATCTAAAAAAAACTCGCAATTACTGACCAACAAAATCACATAAGAATATTTTTCATTTCAAATAGGATAGCAGAAAGATTAACCAAAAAAGGGGTAAACATTGGTTTAAATAAATCAGCAAAACACTATTTAATACAATTTGTTTTAAAATTGTTATATTTAACTTAGGCCTAATCCAAAATATTTACAAATAGCTTACACTTTTAAATACATTTTACATACAATTAAGGAACATATAAGGTATTAAAAGACTAAAGTATAACCTAAAGTACAACCCCGCTAGTCCGACACCTACAGGACTGGAACAGTAAGCAGAGCAGTGGATACCTGAGGGGCAGCTGTTCAGGATTTTGCCACGATTGTGGAAGACGATGGTAACGGTAACGTTCCTGGACTGCAAGAGACACTCAATATTCTTCTGCGGCGGAAGACGATGATGATTTATCCGTTACCGCAAAAGATATTAAGAAATGTTTCACAACCGTGAAAGACGATGATAATGTTCCCATGACCACAGGAGACGTTCAATATTTTACCACAACACGGGAGACAATGATGATGTTTACAAAACCACAGCAGATATTAAGGAGTTTGCCGTTATCACAGATGACAAGGATAGTTTTCAGCATGTGATAATGGTGCCTGCCGAAGACGATGATTTTTTCCATGACTGCGGGATTTGTCTAGGATTATTCTGTGATTATGGTAGACAATGATCATGTATCATCAGAAGATGTCCTAGATTTTGCCGTGATTTCCGAAGACGATTATGTTTTATATAACCACAAGATTTTTACCACATTTGTGTAAGACAATTTTGGACGATGGTAATCTTCCTGAGACTGCGAAGGAGAAAAATATGTTGGCCGTGCGCAATATTAGCCTACTGCAATAACATTGCAACTGATAGGTCATGCGATGGTCGGATTAAGTGTGGAGTCTTACTATCTGAGGTTAGATTTGCGAGGTTATACTTTATTTTTAAATAAATCTCATTTTACAAACTTACAGCCACTAAAACACACTTTTTGTACATATACATGTTAAACATGAAATCTGCTCAGACAATGTTAAATCATTGTTGGACACTTGAAACGCACGTTTACAACATTTTAAACAGCGGCTACCATACATATCATAGGTAACATTCATTTACATAAAAGTTTCTCTGGTTAAATAACCTTACGATAGTTATCTTTATCTCCGTTTCTTTTTCTCCTGTTTCCGAGGTCTGTGGTGAGCGTGAGGTCGTCGAGGCGTAGCCTGAGGACTACCTTCGGACAAATCTTCTTCACTCATATCCCCGTCCTGCACAAAGTTAGGTTTCATAAATTACTGAATCCAGGCCAACTTTACTGAAATATGGTCAACACCACTGACACGAACACATGTTTAGCTGGGTAGCGGAGTGGATATAGTGCTTACTTAGTAATCAGAAATTTGCAGTTCCATTCTGAGAAAAATCAAAATAACTTTAATGGTTTGAAACTAGGCCCAGCTTACTTGGTCATTGGACTATTAATAAAAATATCCTGGCTTAAGAACCATCGATATGTATATTTGTTTAACACCCATCGATATTATCCTCAACATTAAAACCCTCTGGTCCTTCTAACTAATTTTATTAAATTTTCTTATCCCATTCTCATATGCCAATTCTCAACTTTATATAAATTAATAACATTTTCTCCATACCAAACAGAATTAGGCCCTAACTTAAAAGTAGAATATAACGTTCTTTTGCTCCAAATAGCCAGAAACTGTTCAAAGAATTACAAACAGGTGGTTTGACAGCTACCTGACGTCAGCTAGTGAAACTGAGACACAATGTCAATGTTTCCCAAACTGCAAGGTCTGGGCTACTACCTCTAACAAGGAGTTCCCCAGGGATCAGTGCTTGGACCTGTACTTTTCATTTTGCTGACCAATGACGAGGTTTAAAATTTTTAAGCAATAAACCCCCAAAACTAAGTTTTGTCAAGATTGCATAGTAAGATAAATTCAATTAATTGGAACACAAATGATCTTGTTTTTGTAGTTAATGGTTTAATAGTTTTATAGTTCTATAGTTTATAAACAGTAAGTGGCATATAATTGGCATTAAGTACCTTCATTGATGATGAATCATACTTTTCAGGAAGTACGATGACTGCGGCGATACACACCAGCTGAAACACGGCCCCGATGTAAAGACCGTATCTGATCACAGTGTCCATGAAATCATCCGGAACAGCACCTGGTACCTCGTACATCTTATCTACAATTAAGAGAAAACCACTTTAAATGAGAAATCTTCTTGACATTGACATTGTCGTAAAATTTACCCTTCCAATACTAGAAGGATGAAGGATATCACCTTTACCTTTTTACCTCCTCTTCGTATCAATGTAATTTTTTGGTGTTGGAAAATAGGTGATGGATATTTCCGCCCATTCTGTTAAGAGTAAAACGATGTGAGATAGAGATCACAAGAAGTTAAAGAAAGTAAAAGTAGAGAAGTAGGCTACTTATGTGTAGTTGAGTGGCTAGGCTGTAGGATACAGTGCTTGAGTTGAAATCTGAAGGTTGCTGAGCGCTATGATCCCAAGTGGCATTGACATTGTGCTATTGGTTAATTACGCTAACTAACAAGACCGGGATACGTTTACAATAAATGTAAAAAAGGCCAATGGCGCTCAAACGCATAAAATAACAAAGATGGCTAAGACACATAATGTGATGTAAATAGAAAGCATTTGGAGAAGATAAAGATATTTCTCTGTGGCGACATAAACTGAAAGGCAGTAATAGGCCTTTCCTTACAGTACTAGTGTGTTTATGCAAACATAATTGAATCTAAGACATAACTTAGGCCTACTTAGGTTCTTTACCAAAAAATAAGAATAAACATTACCTCTTAAGTCTATGAGAACTTTTGACAACGATGTAGAGGTGCAAAGCCTATATTTTGTTGAAGAATAATATCTTGCCTAAACACTGAGAGGAAATCTCTGATTTTCGACTTGGTAAAAGTGCGTAACTTATACTTAAAACAACAATCGGAACTGTCTCAGCAACATTACATTTGCAAATTAAATTGAAACCTATTTTGTATAAAGCATTTTAATTTAAAATTCACGATCAGGTTTATTTATGAGCAAATTGACTAAAAGAGAAAGACTCAGACTCTCGACTATGACTGACAGGAGGACAGGACAGGACAGCTAAAGCTAAAGCTAAACAAACAGCAGAAGCAGAGAGCGAGAGCAGCCAGCAGACGGCAGTGATTAGGATTAGATTATGGATTAGATTAGGTCTAGTGCCAGGCCAGCCAACCCGAATCGACCGAATCCAGTCCGTCCCGACTCCCGAGTTGGAGATTGAAAAATCTACCTGAAGATCAGTTTAGTAGTAGCATGTCTATGGCGGTCTATGGTAGCGAGTATGTTTTATCTATGGTAGTAGCATTAAAACATAGTCCCTTCCCTTGGTAAATTTCCCATCCTTATGAAACAGCTGAAGCCAATTTCATTGTTAGTTCCATCCGGTTTGCAAAATTTTTATTTCAGCTGCAGTTTTATAATACGGACAAAATGAGTTTAAAAATTATAAATAAAAAAAATATTATAAAGCTAAAAAATTTTAAAATTAATTTTTTAATTATAAAATTAAAATGTTATAACCTAACCTAACTAACCAAACTTACTGATAATGAAAACATTGAATGAAGGTTTACTTATCAAAAAAATAGTTCTGTTCATAAAATAAAACTATAAATGCCTCAAATTCAATTTAAAATGTTTTTAATTATAAAATTAAACGGTCATAACCTAACCAAACTTGCTGATAATGCAAAAATCTTAGATAAAAAGTTAGTTTCGGACTTGGGACCTTTAGCTTCTCAGCCCAGCACTTTATCCATTAGACCAACGAGGCCGATGGCTTCAAGCCGTATCGTTGCGGTAATGGTGTTCCCTCAGCCAATAGAATGCTCTCATTTTGACCGTATTAAAAACACTGCAGCTGAAATAAAAATTCAGCATCCGGCATTCTGTAAATGTCGTGTTTTGTTTACAGTTTGTTTATATTATTTTAGGGTTAGTTTCTTATTATTTGCGTCTCACTGTTTGGTTATATAGCTAGTGGACGAGTTATTGTTTATGATTAGATAGTTTTATTTGGTTAAACGAGGTTTTAAATTACGGAAATAACAAGAAACGAATTGTAAACAAAACACGACATCTACAGAAAACCGGACAGAACTAACAATAAAATTGGCTTCAGCTGTTACATAAGGATGGGAAATCTAGGACTATGTTTTATGGTAGTACAGTAGCATAGATTAAATAATACGAGAGGTCGTCCAGTGGTCGAAACTCGACCAAAAATATGTAATGTACTCACTTAACTATTTTCACCCCACACTGTAAATAAAACATGTGATTGGAGTTTCCTCCATTTGTTTTGATTTTCTGTTTATATTTCGTTGTTATTTCGTAACCAGCATAGCAACGCATAAGATCCATGTTAATTTTTTAAAACTTTTAAACTTATTTTTTGTGCTTATCTTTGAGCCTATTTAAATTTATAAAGGGATTCTGCACAGGAAAATAGCTTTCCAACGGTATGCGTAGATTTTCCCTACGATGCACACGAGCTGAGAAAAAAGGTTTTAAAGAAACATGCTTGCCTATTAATATATAGATAGATTCCCTACCCTAAGGGAATATATTTAATCTATGGCAGTAGGCAGGCAAAAGAGAATTTTTTATCGCAGAACAACACCGTGACAATACACTCGATTGATATGAGTATAATGGTTGATTATGTATTGTTGAAAGAGTTTAATTGAAACTATAAGCTTAGATTAAAGATGTATCTATGTTACTAATCATACTGAGGTTTAACTGCTACTTTTGTCCTTGTTTGTGAATTAAAAGAGTAAAGCAAAAGAAAACCAAAAATAATACCCAAAATTAATTATTTCATAATAAAAAGTAGAGATTTGGTGACATGAAAAACTGCAAGTATTATCGTACATCCATTCATTGATGCTACATAAAAATTTAACACGCATTAAAAGAGGACTCGGATTAAATCACAGTATGTCAAGTCCTTCAGTATCAAAACTCAATTGATTATCATCAATACCTTATGCATAGTATTTCATAATATTTCATAAGTATTAATTAATATAAGTATTATATTAAAAGTATTAATGTATAGCCGAGATACAAACACCCATGTTCAGTTGGTAAAGAACGATTCCACTGGAGAGTAGCTCTGCTCTGAACCCGAGATCTTGATAACGGGAATATCGGGAGACTTATTCCTTCTTTTGCCATAGTGTGTACAACTTGTCAGATCAAATGCTACTATTTTAGTGCCGACAATTTTCGACGTCAGTTACTTGGGATGTCAGTCAAAAGGGAATTATTTCAGTGTCGTTCAGATGAAAATAATTCAGTTTCGATAAAAATTCAAAGGTTATTAAACACATGGCACCAACCCCAATCTACCTGCCTGACATGTCGTGTATTGTTTTTTTTAAATGCCTACCTTTCTTTAACCGAAACCGAAATTGGCTGAAGCTAGCTGACGACCATCTGACGAGTGCGAGATCGTAAAACTGTCTGTGGCAAACAAAAGGGTACCTTCTGTTCTCATGCTAATAGACCTGTACATAAGTTGTGGTGGAAGATGGTTCGGTAGTTATAGAATAAATTGTAACATTCAACGACTTGCACAACAATTGATTAAGTGGTATAAGCAATTAGCATTGATACATTGTATAAATAGTAGTCAAGTCTCGAATATTAAACCACTATATTATAGATTTATTGAACGAGAGCCATACAAAAAAGACACGGAATACGGCGTGTTAAGGAGTGGTTTTTGAATATCTAATAGAATAAATTGTAACATTCGACGACCTGCACAGCAATTAATCCAGTGGTATAAGCAATAGGATTGATACGAGTTATAAATAGTAGTCAAGTCTAGAATAGTAAATAACTAGAATATAGATTAATGAAACGAGAACCATACAAAAATGACGCTAAATGTAGCGTGTTAAGGGGTGGGTCAGCACTTGTAGGATTAGCTGTTTGGCCCCACCGTCCACTCTCGGTAATGTGCCGTGTTGTAGGGTGGTTGTGAGTTGTGGAATAAATTGCAACATTCAACGACCTGCACAGCAATTAATCCAGTGGTATAAGCAATTAAGGTTAATACATTGTATAAATAGTAGTCAACTCTTGGACAGTGAACAACTAGAATATAGATTTATTGAACGAGAGCAATACAAAAATGACCCTGAATATGGCGTGTTAAGGGGTGGTTCAGTTGTTATAGAATAAATTGCAACATTTGACGGACATGCATATAAATTAATCCAGTGGTATAAGCAATTAGGATTGATACATTGTATAAAGTGTAGTCAAATCTTGAATAGTAAACAACTAAAATATAGATTTAATGAACGAGAGCCATACAAAAATGACACTCAAAATGACGTATTAGGGGGTTGGGTCAGGACTTGTAGGATAAACTAGCGGTTTGGTCCCACCGTCCGCTCTCAAATGTGCCGTGTTGTAGGGTGGTTGTGAGTTGTGGAATAAACATAGTAGGACTGATACGTTATAATAATAAGGTTTGATTTCGGTAGCTTGACATCTTGGTGGTTGTAGATTGTCGGCTGCTGATTGTTGTAGATAATGTTTTTTTGGCCACTTGTGTATGAAAACAACTAGATTCGTTATTGAACACAAAGCTGGTTGTTCATACATAAATGGCCTCTCGTGTGAGAGGCGCTAGGTATCTGAAACAAAATTGATTAATATATTCAATGATCTTGCACACAAACAATTATCTAATATATATATATATATATATATATATATATATATATATATACACTATATAATACCATTCCTATATACCTTTAATACGTTTAATACCTGCTGCGACGTCGTTGGCCAGATTAACTTCTGGATAGACTGTGTCAAGGATGAACTAAAAATAATATATACACTATATACAAAATAATTACAATTTATAATTTCTTAGTCCTTTTATTTAATTTAATACCTTAGAATAGATAAACTAAATCTTTATTGTCATAAAACTATTTTACATAGCATCGACAAACGTCAAACGTCCAAACAATCTAATTAAGCAATAAACAAGTAGTATAATCCTGCAAAACATAAGTTAATAAATCTTACAAGTAAAAAACATCAACAATCATTTTTGAAGAATTCAAAAACCATTTACTATTCTCAATTTATTAAACCTTTATAGTCCAAACAATCTGATTTAGCAATAAACAAGTAGTATAATCCTGAAAAACATTAGTTAATAAATCTTGCAAGTAAAAAACATCAACAATCATTTTTGAAGAATTCAAAAACCATTTAGTATTCTCAATTTATTAAACCTTTATAGTCCAAACAATCTGATTTAGCAATAAACAAGTAGTATAATCCTGAAAAACATAAGTTAATAAATCTTACAAGTAAAAAACATCAACAATCATTTTTGAAGAATTCAAAACCCATTTAGTATTCTCAATTAATTTATTAAACCTTTATAATAAATACTGTATGTAGTGAAAGCAATGTGTTGTCTAGTTGCCTTCAAATTTTTACTATCGTCGTGTGTTCGCACTCAACCCAAGGTCACAAACTGTGAAATAGGCATAATACAAACCCAAACTCGATTTTATACTACCTCAGATCCTACTACTTGTTTACGTTCTCCAGAAGAATGTCGTTCAAAACTGCCATCCCTTTTGTATTTAGATGTATCAGGTCTTGTCGCCTGCTCTGGCCGTATCCCATGGTACTGAAAGAATGATGTGATCATTAGTATAATGTATAATATACCACATGCGTAATGAGCAACTTAATATGAAGGGCTTAATATGTTCCAGTTTGAACACCAAAATAATATATGACACTGAACAATGAGTATCACCATTATTTTATTTCCTAAAAGATACTTATTCCAAGATTACATTTTTTTGCTTTTCATTTATAATCCAAATAATTTAAAATGTTAATGTTCCAGTTTGAACACTAAAATAATATAAGACCCTGAACAATGAATATCACCATTATTTTATTTCCCAAAAGATACTTATTCTAAGATTAACAGTTTTTTGCTTTTCATTTATAATCCAAATAATGTAAAATTTAACTTGTGAATAAACTT